GCGGGCTGTATATATACCGTATACCGAATGTAGCCGAAGCTGCCGTATTACCTGCACATCCAGGCGGCTGTATATACTGTATGACTGATATACCGTGATGTAGCCGAAGCTGCACGTATTACCGTCACATCCAGCGGGCTGTATATGACCAGTATACCTGTATGTATCCGAAGCAGGCTTTGTATTTTACGCACAATACATCCAGCCGGCTGTATGATGTACCGTATACTGTATGTAGCCGAAGTATAAATAACGTATACTGTACATCCAGCGGGCTGTATACAGCGCACAGGGACGTATACTGTATGTGGAAGATCCATGGCTGATGACTGTATACACGCACATCACGGGCGAAGATGTCATTCATGAATTATGATGCCAGAGGATGAACATGAGGATTTTGAAGGATTTTATGTACGGTAAGTCAGCGGGCATGTCAAATATACCGTCTGATGTTTTTAAAAAGTGGTGTATTACGCACATCCTAGCGGGCTGTATAATTCCTGTATACTTATGTGGCCGAAGCTAGGTCGTATTACCGCACATCCACGGTCGATCATACCTTAATAAGACCGAAGTAAAAATGATTAATCGAAAGAGCACATATTAATTAGTCCAGGAAATGTATCAATTAATAAATGTATCAATTAAGCGGGCTGATCATTATAGAAAATATATGATCAATTTAATATAAAGTATGTAACAATTAACTTAAATAATGATCATAATAGCGGAATGTATCAATTAATTAAAGAACATGATCAATTAATAGAAAAAATGCCGTATATACAACATCCAGCGGGCTGTAACAATTATATGTAAAAGTAGAAGCTTAGCCGTGGAATGTTAATTGTGCACATCCAGAGGGCAATTAATAGAAAGAATAATTAATTAACGAATGATAATTAGCCGAAGCTGAGTATTAACAGCAGGAATCCAGTATGTATAATAGAACCGTAATGAGCAATTAACTAATAGTAGGAATGAATGCAATTTAGAAAAATTCATAGCAACTAATAGGGAATGTATCAATTAATACCGTGATAATAGAAGGAATGTATCAATTAATGAAAACAATTAATAACAGAGCACATCCAGCCCCTAATATAAAATGTATACATAATTAAAAGAATGTATCCATTAATAGAAAAATTATCACATAATAGAAGGAATGTATCAATTAATAGAAAGAATGAGCAACTAATAGAAGGAATGTATCAATTAATAGAAAACAATTAATTACAGAAGGAATGTATCAATTAATAGAATGAATGATACTAATAGAAGGAATGTATCAATTAATAGAAAGAATGGCAATTAACAGAAGGAATGTATCAATTAATAGAAAGAATGAGCAACTAATAGAAGGAATGTATCAATTAATAGAATAGAATGAGCAACTAATAGAAGAAATGTATCAATTAATAGAAAAATGAGCAACTAATAGAAGGAATGTATCAATTAATAGAAAATTATGAGCAACTAATAGAAGGAATGTATCAATTAATAATGAGAAAGAATGAGCAACTAATAGAAGGAATGTATCAATTAATAGAAAAGAATGAGCAACTAATAGAAGGAATGTATCAATTAATAGAAAGAATGTATCAATTAATAGAAAGAATGAGCTAATAGAAGGAATGTATCAATTAATAGAAAGAATGAGCAACTAATAGAAGGAATGTATCAATTAATTAATAGAATGACAATTAATTAAAGAAGAATGTATCAATTAATAGAATGAATGAGCAACTAATAGAAAGAATGTATCAATTAATAAAGAAAAGCAATTAATTAACAGAAGGAATGTATCAATTAATAGAAAGAATGAGCAACTAATAGAAGGAATGTATCAATTAATAGAAAAAGGAATGAGCAACTAATAGAAGGAATGTATCAATTAATAGAAAAAATGAGCAACTAAAAGAAGGAATGTATATCAATTAATAGAAAACAATGAGCAACTAATAGAAGGAATGTATCAATTAATAGAAAGAATGAGCAACTAATAGAAGGAATGTATCAATTAATAGAAAGAAAACTAATAGCAACTAATAGAAGGAATGTATCAATTAATAGAAAGAATGAGCAACTAATAGAAGGAATGTATCAATTAATAGAAAGAATGATTAACTAATAGAAGGAATGTATCAATTAATAGAAAACTAATAGAAAGATCAATTAATAGAAACTAAGAAGGAATGTATCATGAACTAATAGAAGAATGTATCAATAGAAAACTAATAACAGAAGGAATGTATCAATTAATAGAAAGAATGATCAAAAACAATTAAACAGAAGGAATGTATCAATTAATAGAATGAATGAGCAACTAATAGAAGGAATGTATCAATTAATAGAAAGAATGAGCAACTAATAGAAGGAATGTATCAATTAATAGAAAACAATTAATTAACAGAAAGGAATGTATCAATTAATAGAATGAATGAGCAACTAATAGAAGGAATGTATCAATTAATAGAAAGAATGAGCAACTAATAGAAGGAATGTATCAATTAATAGAAAGAATGAGCAACTAATAGAAGGAATGTATCAATTAATAGAAAGAATGAGCAACTAATAGAAGGAATGTATCAATTAATAGAAAGAATGAGCAACTAATAGAAGGAATGTATCAATTAATAGAAAACAATTAATTAACAGAAGGAATGTATCAATTAATAGAATGAATGAGCAACTAATAGAAAGAATGTATCAATTAATAGAAAACAATTAATTAACAGAAGGAATGTATCAATTAATAGAAAGAATGAGCAACTAATAGAAGGAATGTATCAATTAATAGAAAGAATGAGCAACTAATAGAAGGAATGTATCAATTAATAGAAAACAATTAATTAACAGAAGGAATGTATCAATTAATAGAATGAATGAGCAACTAATAGAAGGAATGTATCAATTAATAGAAAGAATGAGCAACTAATAGAAGGAATGTATCAATTAATAGAAAAACAATTAATTAACAGAAGGAATGTATCAATTAATAGAATGAATGAGCAACTAATAGAAGGAATGTATCAATTAATAGAAAGAATGAGCAACTAATAGAAGGAATGTATCAATTAATAGAAACAATTAATTAACAGAAGGAATGTATCAATTAATAGAATGAATGAGCAACTAATAGAAAGAATGTATCAATTAATAGAAAACAATTAATTAACAGAAGGAATGTATGAATTAATAGAATGAATGAGCAACTAATAGAAAGAATGTATCAATTAATAGAGAACAATTAATTAACAAAAGGAATGTATCCATTATGAGAAATAATAATCATTTCATAGAAGGAATATATCAATTAACTGAAAGAAAGAGCAAGTAATAAAAAAAAATGTATCAGTTAATAGAAGGAACAATTAGCAGAGGTAACGTATCAATTTTGAGAAACAATGATCAATTAATAGAAAGAATAATTAACAGAAAGAATGATTAATTAATAGAAAGAGTGATCAATTAACAGAAGGAATGTATCAATTAAAAGAAGGAATGATCAATTAAATAGAAAGAACGATCAATTAACAGAAGGAATGTATCAATAATAAAAAAAATGAGAAATTTATTGGAAAAATGTATCAATTAATAGAAGGAACAATTAATTAGCAGAAGTAACATATCAATTATGAGAAATAATGATCAAACAATAGAAGCATAATTAATTTAGAGAATGATCAATTAACAGAAAGAATGAGCAACTAATAGAAAGAGCAATTAAATAGCAGAAGTAATGTATTATTATTTATTATTATTTAGTAATGTATTATTATTATAAAAAATAATGTTTAATTAATAGGAGGAATGATCAGTTGACAGAAGGATTGTATCAATTAATAGGAGGAATGATCAATAATAACATTGTGATGCCCAGTCTGCCTCTTAGATGGACAGCTGAGCCCTTTCTCTGAGGGTCAGTCATATACAGAGCAGCCGTAGATATCTGCCCCGGGTGCCCACAGATATAAGCCCCTCCCACTCAGCACTAGACATGTGCAATTTGCTTCGTTACAAATCAAAATCCGGACGAAATTTTGTTCTTTGGAGATCCGGATGAATCTGAATTTCCGAATCAAAATAATAATCAATTTCAACCAATCCGAAAGGTGATTGTAGCCGTATTAGTGCACTTGGGACAGAAACAACTGAGTACTGCCTGGACCTTGAAGAAGGGGACATCCCCTGAAAGATTGTCCTCAAAATTGTATGTTAGTGCAAATAAAAGAAGTATCACATCAGGACTCAATTGTTTCTGTAACAAATCCGAAATAAATTATAACGAAACAAAGGATGCGAATTCAACTTTGAAAATGAATTTGAATTCGAAATGGAAACATATTTCAATAAATAGAATAAGGTATCAAAGTAAAATAAGATTATGATTCCTACTTTGGCCGCTTTATCGAATAGAATAAAATAGAAAAGAGTAGAATAGAACAAAATAGAAAATAAAAGTGCAAAATAGAATAAAAAGGAAGAGAAAATAAAGGAACAGAATAGAAAAGAATAACACAGAATAGAATAAAATAGAAAGTAAAACAATAGAATAGAATAAAATAGAAAATAAAATAATAAAATAGAATAGAATAAAAGAGAATATAGCGGTCTTCCGAAATTTCAATTTCAAATCGATCTGAAAACAACGAATATACGAAATGAATTCTGAAAACGAATCATTCAAACATAACGAATGCCGAAAAAAAATTATTAATTTTTAATTATTAAATAAATCTGAAATGAAATGAATTTTTCCGTCGTGCACATCTCGACTTGGCACTCATTCTAAAAGATTTCAGCAGGTGTATTGGAATGGCCTATCTCAGTGTCTACGGGACAGAATCATGGGATTCAGGGATATTATCCCCCTCAAATGGACTGGAATTAAACCCGATCTAGCAATAGCTCCATTGTGAGTAACCTGAAAACCCCGCCCACACCGCGAGACACGCCCTGCCTCCGGCTCACCTGACCGCCTCCTTGGATTTTCGGCTCTTGGGTTTCTTTGCAGATCTTGGACTATTAGGTTTTGAAGAGAATGGTGCCACTCCAATCCCAAAACCATTGCCGTCCAATTCTCCGACCAACTGGCCCTCTGCGTCCACCAGACCGGCCTATGGGGCAACAGCAAAGAAATATATCCGGAATATTCCAATATAAACACGACGGGTGAGCAGACCGCGATCATCACTGCCGCCAGAAGGAGATATGCGATTTTACTTTTTTTTTTTAACTCCGCCCACTGTATGCTGCAGGTTCATTGGATTACTTATTAATCAGTTTCTTTTTTCATTTATTCATTTACTTATATATTTATTTTGTACAGCACTGTGGTCAGGGGCGGACTGACCATTTGGAGACCCGGGCACTGCCCGAGGGCCCGGGGTCAGTAGGGGGCCCCATGAGATGCCCCTGGTACCTTTTTCATAGGCTTTTTTGAGTTTGGGCAAGGACACAGGGGCCCCATGATCCCCTATTGCCAGGGGGCCCCATGAGTTGTCAGTCCGCCTCTGGTTGTGGTATATGTCAGAGCTATATACATGTATAATATTAATAAAGTGTGACTGTGGGGGGGGATATTAGAGTGTAAGCTCCTCTGTACAGAGACTGATGGGACTGTGGGGGAGGGGACATTGGAGTGTAAGCTCCTCTGGTACAGAGACTGATGTGACTGCGGGGGAGGGGACATTAGAGCGTAAGCTCCTCTGGTACAGAGACTGATGTGACTGCGGGGGAGGGGACATTAGAGTGTAAGCTCCTCTGGTACAGAGACTGATGTGACTGCGGGGGAGGGGACATTAGAGCGTAAGCTCCTCTGGTACAGACTGATGTGACTGTGGGGGAGGGGACATTAGAGTGTAAGCTCCTCTGGTACAGAGACTGATGTGACTGTGGGGGGGGGGGGCATTAGAGTGTAAGCTCTTCTGGTACAGAGACTGATGTGACTGTGGAGGAGGGGACATTAGAGCGTAAGCTCCTCTGGTGCAGAGACTGATGTGACTGCGGGGGAGGGGACATTAGAGCGTAAGCTCCTCTGGTACAGAGACTGATGTGACTGTGGGGGAGGGGACATTAGAGTGTAAGCTCCTCTGGTACAGAGACTGATGTGACTGTGGGGGAGGGGACATTAGAGTGTAAGCTCCTCTGGTACAGAGACTGATGGGACTGTGGGGGAGGGGACATTAGAGCGACAGCTCCTCTGGTACAGAGACTGATGTGACTGCGGGGGAGGGGACGTTAGAGTGTAAGCTCCTCTGGTACAGAGACTGATGAGACTCCGGGGGAGGGGACATTAGAGTGTAAGCTCCTCTGGTACAGAGACTGATGTGACTGCGGGGGAGGGGACATTAGAGCGTAAGCTCCTCTGGTACAGAGACTGATGTGACTGTGGGGGAGGGGACATTAGAGCGTAAGCTCCTCTGGTACAGAGACTGATGTGACTGCGGGGGAGGGGACATTAGAGTGTAAGCTCCTCTGGTACAGAGACTGATGTGACTGTGGGGGGAGGGGGCATTAGAGTGTAAGCTCTTCTGGTACAGAGACTGATGTGACTGTGGAGGAGGGGGACATTAGAGCGTAAGCTCCTCTGGTGCAGAGACTGATGTGACTGTGGAGGAGGGGACATTAGAGCGTAAGCTCCTCTGGTACAGAGACTGATGTGACTGCGGGGGAGGGGACGTTAGAGTGTAAGCTCCTCTGGTACAGAGACTGATGTAACTGCGGGGGAGGGGACATTAGAGCGTAAGCTCCTCTGGTACACAGACTGATGTGACTCCGGGGGAGGGGACATTAGAGTGTAAGCTCCTCTGGTACAGAGACTGATGTGACTGCGGGGGAGGAGACATTAGAGCGTAAGCTCCTCTGGTACAGAGACTGATGTGACTGTGGGGGAGGGGACATTAGAGTGTAAGCTCCTCTGGTACAGAGACTGATGTGACTGCGGGGGAGGGGACATTATAGTGTAAGCTCCTCTGGTACAGAGACTGATGTGACTGCGGGGGAGGAGACATTAGAGCGTAAGCTCCTCTGGTACAGAGACTGATGTGACTGTGGGGGAGGGGACATTAGAGTGTAAGCTCCTCTGGTACAGAGACTGATGTGACTGCGGGGGAGGGGACATTAGAGTGTAAGCTCCTCTGGTACAGAGACTGATGTGACTGTGGGGGAGGGGACATTAGAGCGTAAGCTCCTCTGGTACAGAGACTGATGTGACTGTGGGGGAGGGGACATTAGAGCGTAAGCTCCTCTGGTACAGAGACTGATGTGACAGCGCTGTGGTATATGTCAGAGCTATATACATGTATAATAATAGCAGACCTATAAAATAGCTAATTAAGAAGTGCACAGACAACACTAAAAACCTGACAAAAGATACATTTCCCAGTTTCCCCAAAAACTGAGAAAAACATAGATGGAGCCATACATTGCACTGTAAATATTTCAGAACAATCCCAGATGACCAGGGGGGACACGGATATCTGTGTACAGGGGAGACACTGGGGTTCTGATATCTGTGTACAGGGGAGACACTGGGGTTCTGATATCTGTGTACAGGGGAGACACTGGGGTTCTGATATCTGTGTACAGGGAAGACACTGGGGTTCTGATATCTGTGTACAGGGGAGACACTGGGGTTCTGATATCTGTGTACAGGGGAGACACTGGGGTTCTGATATCTGTGTACAGGGAAGACACTGGGGTTCTGATATCTGTGTACAGGGGAGACACTGGGGTTCTGATATCTGTGTACAGGGGAGACACTGGGGTTCTGATATCTGTGTACAGGGAAGACACTGGGGTTCTGATATCTGTGTACAGGGGAGACACTGGGGTTCTGATATCTGTGTACAGGGGAGACACTGGGGTTCTGATATCTGTGTACACAGGAGACACTGGGGTTCTGATATCTGTGTACAAGGGAGACACTGGGGTTCCGATATCTGTGTACAGGGGAGACACTGGGGTTCTGATATCTGTGTACAGGGGAGACACTGGGGTTCTGATATCTGTGTACAAGGGAGACACTGGGGTTCCGATATCTGTGTACAGGGGAGACACTGGGGTTCTGATATCTGTGTACAGGGGAGACACTGGGGTTCCGATATCTGTGTACAGGGGAGACACTGGGGTTCTGATATCTGTGTACACAGGAGACACTGGGGTTCTGATATCTGTGTACAAGGGAGACACTGGGGTTCCGATATCTGTGTACAGGGGAGACACTGGGGTTCTGATATCTGTGTACAGGGGAGACACTGGGGTTCTGATATCTGTGTACAAGGGAGACACTGGGGTTCCGATATCTGTGTACAGGGGAGACACTGGGGTTCTGATATCTGTGTACAGGGGAGACACTGGGGTTCTGATATCTGTGTACAGGGGAGACACTGGGGTTCCGATATCTGTGTACAGGGGAGACACTGGGGTTCCGATATCTGTGTACAGGGGAGACACTGGGGTTCCGATATCTGTGCATAGGGGAGACACTGGGGTTCCGATATCTGTGTACAGGAGAGAAACTGGGGTTCCGATATCTGTGTACAGGGGAGAGACACTGGGGTTCCGATATCTGTGTACAGGGGAGACAATGGGGTTCCGATATCTGTGTACAGGGGAGACACTGGGGTTCCGTTATCTGTGTACAGGGGAGACACTGGGGTTCCGATATCTGTGTACAGGGGAGACACTGGGGTTCCGATATCTTGTACAGAGGAGACACTGGGGTTCCGATATCGTTGTACAGGGGAGACACTGGGGTTCCGATATCTGTGTACAGGGGAGACACTGGGGTTCCGATATCTGTTTACAGAGGAGACTCTGGGGTTCCGATATCGTTGTACAGGGGAGACACTGAGGTTCTGATATGTGCACAGGGGTGACACCGGGGTTCCGATATCTGTGTACAGGGGAGACACTGGGGTTCCGATATCTGTGTACAGGGGAGACACTGGGGTTCCGATATCTGTGCATAGGGGAGACACTGGGGTTCCGATATCTGTGTACAGGAGAGAAACTGGGGTTCCGATATCTGTGTACAGGGGAGACACTGGGGTTCCGATATCTGTGTACAGGGGAGACAATGGGGTTCCGATATCTGTGTACAGGGGAGACACTGGGGTTCCGATATCTGTGTACAGGGGAGACACTGGGGTTCCGATATCTGTGTACAGGGGAGACACTGGGGTTCCGATATCTGTTTACAGAGGAGACACTGGGGTTCCGATATCTGTGTACAGGGGAGACACTGGGGTTCCGATATCTGTTTACAGAGGAGACACTGGGGTTCCGATATCGTTGTACAGGGGAGACACTGAGGTTCTGATATGTGCACAGGGGTGACACCGGGGTTCCGATATCTGTGTACAGGGGAGACACTGGGGTTCCGATATCTGTGTACAGGGGAGACACTGGGGTTCTGATATCTGTGTACAGGGGAGACACTGGGGTTCCGATATCTGTGTACAGGGGAGACACTGGGGTTCTGATATCTGTGTACAGGGGAGACACTGGGGTTCCGATATCTGTGTACAGGGGAGACACTGGGGTTCCGATATCGTTGTACAGGGGAGACACTGAGGTTCTGATATGTGCACAGGGGTGACACCGGGGTTCCGATATCTGTGTATACGGGAGACACTAGGGTTCTGATATCTGTCTACAGGGGAGAAACTGGGGTTCTCATATCTGTGTACAGGGGAGACACTGGGGTTCTGATATGTGTACAGGGGTGACACCGGGGTTCCGATATCTGTGTACAGGGGAGACACTGGGGTTCCGATATCTGTGTACAGGGGAGACACTGAGGTTCTGATATGTGTACAGGGGTGACACCGGGGTTCCGATATCTGTGTACAGGGGAGACACCGGGGTTCCGATATCTGTGTACAGGGGAGACACTGGGGTTCCGATATCTGTGTACAGGGGAGACACTGGGGTTCCGATATCTGTGTACAGAGGAGACACTGGGGTTCCGATATCGTTGTACAGGGGAGACACTGAGGTTCTGATATCTGTGTACAGGGGAGACACTGGGGTTCCGATATCTGTGTACAGGGGAGACACTGGGGTTCCGATATCTGTGTACAGAGGAGACACTGGGGTTCCGATATCGTTGTACAGGGGAGACACTGGGGTTCTGATATCTGTCTACAGGGGAGACACTGGGGTTCTGATATCTGTGTACAGGGGAGACACTGGGGTTCCGATATCTGTGTACAGGGGAGACACCGGGGTTCCGATATCTGTGTGTACAGGGGAGACACCGGGGTTCCGATATCTGTGTACAGGGGAGACACCGGGGTTCCGATATCTGTGTACAGGGGAGACACCGGGGTTCCGATATCTGTGTACAGGGGAGACACCGGGGTTCCGATATCTGTGTACAGGGGAGACACCGGGGTTCCGATATCTGTGTACAGGTGAGACACTGGGGTTCTGATATCTGTGTACAGGGGTGACACTGGGGTTCTGATATCTGTGTACAGGGGTGACACTGGGGTTCTGATATCTGTGTACAGGGGTGACACTGGGGTTCTGATATCTGTGTACAGGGGTGACACCGGGGTTCCGATATCTGTGTATACGGGAGACACTGGGGTTCTGATATCTGTGTACAGGGGAGACACTGGGGTTCTGATATCTGTGTACAGGGGAGACAATGGGGTTCCGATATCTGTGTACAGGGGAGACAATGGGGTTCCGATATCTGTGTACAGGGGAGACACTGGGGTTCCGATATCTGTGTACTGGAGTTATTAGATGGGTCTCTCTCCTTTGCCATGGCATTGGCAGACTTTCGCGGTGCAGTTAGGACAGAACCGTTCTTAGTGACACATTCAGCACGGGTCATTTCCCGAAGCAGAACTTTGTCTTCTTCAGGAAAACCAAGAAGCTATAGCAGATGCTGTCAAAACTCCGAGACCCTTTGGAGAGGTTAACCATCAACCACAACCGATGACCTCCCAGTACCTACCTTCTGTGCCTCCGACAGGGCTGCAGAGTCTTGAATGTATTTCTTTCTCAGTCTGGACTCCACTTCCTGCTCCTGATTTCTGAAAGCCGAAAAAATAACATCTCATGAAGATACGACTTACTGCAATTTCCCTAAAACCCGAATGCATTTCCCAAAGCTCCTCCTCATTACAGGACAATTCCATCTAAAATATGAAGCAGGGACCATATGGACCAATGTACACAATAAAGCCCCCCAGCAATGGTGTCAGTTGGACAGTCAGTAAGGCTTTTTTCTAAGTTCCTGGTGCTAAGGCTGTCCCCACCATTTAACTACCAGATGACAGAAGCTCTACAAGCCAATCACAATTTTTTTTTGGGAGGGGGTAAGGTAGGTGCTGCTTAAGGTGGGCGCTATTTTTAGGGATTGCACCTTAAAAGGTTCCTGTCACCAGTTAAAAAATCATAAAGCAGAGTCCCCTGAAAGAGGTGAACCTACAACAATCAGCCATAAATTCCTGACCACCCACTAAATATTGAGCAGGTCCACCTATTGCTGCCAAAACAGCCTTGACCCGTTGAAGCATGGACTGCACTGGACCTCTGCGGTATCTGGCACCAACCCATCAGTAGCTGATCCTTTAAGTCCTGTAAGTTGGGAGGTGGGGCCTCCACGGATCGGACTTGTTTTTCCAGCACATCCCACAGATGCTCGATTGGATCGAGATCTGGAAAATTTGGTCAACACCTCAAACTCGTGTTCCTCAAACCATTCTTGAAGTGTGGCAGGGCGCATTTTCCTGCTGAATAAGGCCACTGCTCTCAGGGAATACCCATTCCATGCAGGGGTGGACTTGATTCCATGAAGGGGTGGACTTGATTCCATGAAGGGGTGGACTTGATTCCATGAAGGGGTGGACTTGATTCCATGAAGGGGTGGACTTGATTCCATGAAGGGGTGGACTTGATTCCATGCAGGGGTGGACTTGATTCCATGCAGGGGTGGACTTGATTCCATGAAGGGATGGACTTGATTCCATGAAGGGGTGGACTTGATTCCATGAAGGGATGGACTTGATTCCATGCAGGGGTGGACTTGATTCCATGAAGGGATGGACTTGATTCCATGAAGGGGTGGACTTGATTCCATGAAGGGGGGACTTGATTCCATGAAGGGGTGGACTTGATTCCATGAAGGGGTGGACCCAAGAATGTTTAGGTAGATGGGAGGTGCTAAAGTAACATCCACATGAATGGTAGGAGCCATGGTTTCCCAGCAGAACATTGCCCAAAACATCACACTGCCTGCATCTGGCTTGTCTTCTTCCCATACTGCATGCTGGTGCCATCTCTTCCACAGGTAAGTGACACACACCCCCACCCACCCGGCCATCCACATGATGGAAAAGAAAACGTCATTCATCAGACCAGGCCACCTTCTTCCATGGCTCCGTGCTCCAGTTCCGATGCTCACGTGTCCATTGTAGGTGCTCTTTGTTGTGTGGACACGGGTCAGCATGGGCACCCTGACCGGTCTGCAGCTACACAACAAACCGCGATGCTCTGTGTGTCCTGACACCTTTTTCTATCAGATCCAGCATTCACTTTTTCACTAATTTGAGCTCCAGTAGCTCTTCCATTGGATTGGACTACACGGGCCAGCCTCCCCCCATCTCCAACAAGGAGCCTTCACTCCCCCACCTTCATCAATGAACCATTGCTTCCCGACCAGCTTCATCAATGAGCCTCCATCCCCCCCTGCCCAACCTCCATCAGTGACTGTTTTGTTAGAGTTTTCTTCAAAGGAACTAAAGTCCCGCTGTCAAAAATTTCAGGTTGCTAGAATTTTGTTTGGAAAACCCCCTACATTGGTGTCAGTCAGACCAGTGTACACAATAATAACCCCCCGCATTGGTGTCAGTTGGACCAGTGTACACAATAATAATCCCCCACAATGGTGTCAGTTGGACCAGTGTACACAATAATAACCCCCTGCATTGGTGTCAGTTGGACGAGTGTTTACAATAATAACCCCCAGCAATGGTGTCAGTTGGACCAGTGTACACAATAATAACCCCCAGCAATGGTGACAGTTAGACCAATGTACACAATAATAACCCCCTACATTGGTGTCAGTTGGACCAGTGTACACAATAATAACACCCAGCAATGGTGACAGTTAGACCAATGTACACAATAATAACCCCCTACATTGGTGTCAGTTGGACCAGTGTACACAATAATAACCCCCAGCAATGGTGTCAGTTGGACCAATGTACACAATAATAACGCCCCCCCGCATTGGTATCAGCTGGACCAGTGTACACAATAATAACCCCCAGCAATGGTGTCAGTTGGACCAGTGTACACAATAATAACCCCCAGCAATGGTGTCAGTTGGACCAGTGTACACAATAATAACCCCCAGCAATGGTGACAGTTAGACCAATGTACACAATAATAACCCCCTACATTGGTGTCAGTTGGACCAGTGTACACAATAATAACCCCCTACATTGGTGTCAGTTGGACCAGTGTACACAATAATAACGCCCCCGCATTGGTATCAGCTGGACCAGTGTACACAATAATAACCCCCAGCAATGGTGTCAGTTGGACCAGTGTACACAATAATAACCCTCCCACAATGATGTCAGTTGGACCAGTGTACACAATAATAACCCCCTACATTGGCGTCAGTTGGACCAGTGTACACAATAATAACCCCCAGCAATGGTGTCAGTTGGACCAGTGTACACAATAATAACCCCCTGCATTGGTGTCAGTTGGACGAGTGTTTACAATAATAACCCCCAGCAATGGTGTCAGTTGGACCAGTGTACACAATAATAACCCCCTGCATTTGTGTCAGTTGGACCAGTGTACACAATAATAACCCCCAGCAATGGTATCAGTTGGACCAGTTTACACAATAATAACCCCCAGCAATGGTATCAGTTGGACCAGTTTACACAGTAATAAACCTCTCTACATTGGTGTCAGTTGGACCAGTGTACACAATAATAACCCCCAGCAATGGTGACAGTTAGACCAATGTACACAATAATAACCCCCTACATTGGTGTCAGTTGGACCAGTGTACACAATAATAACACCCAGCAATGGTGACAGTTAGACCAATGTACACAATAATAACCCCCTACATTGGTGTCAGTTGGACCAGTGTACACAATAATAACCCCCAGCAATGGTGTCAGTTGGACCAATGTACACAATAATAACGCCCCGCATTGGTATCAGCTGGACCAGTGTACACAATAATAACCCCCAGCAATGGTGTCAGTTGGACCAGTGTACACAATAATAACCCCCAGCAATGGTGTCAGTTGGACCAGTGTACACAATAATAACCCTCCCACAATGATGTCAGTTGGACCAGTGTACACAATAATAACCCCCAGCAATTGTGTCAGTTGGAACACTGTACACAATAACCCCCCCCCCCACAATGATGTCAGCTGGACCAGTGTACACAATAATAACCCCCCCCCCCCCCCCCCCCAATGATGTCAGCTGGACCAGTGTACACAATAATAACCCCCCCCCCCAATGATGTCAGCTGGACCAGTGTACACAATAATAACCCCCCCCCCCCCAAATGATGTCAGTTGGACCAGTGTACACAATAATAACCCCCCACAATGATGTCAGTTGGACCAGTGTACACAATAATTGCCCCCCGCAATGGTATCAGTTGGACCAGTATACACAATAATAACCCCCAGCATTGGTGTCAGGAGGAGATTCCAGTCCCACAGCTGGAGGGAGGGAAAAAAGCAGACTCCTCCCTCCAGCAGCTATCGCAGTGCTGCACTGTGTTGTGTTCTGAATGACAGGAGTGACGGCAGCATCACTCCTGTCATTCAGGTATCTGGGCAGTGGAGTGCTCTCCATATAGCACCTCTGCGCCCAGGGCACGAGCCCCATGTGCCCACCTTCTGTCCCAACCCAGCTCCCCATGCTAACTCCCTTGCACGTACCTTGGGTCAGAGTGCACAGAGCCAGGACAAGGGGTGGACAGAAGAGGTGGACACCTTAAGTGCTTCAGCAAGGAAGAGAACAAAAAGACATTTTACAGCTCTTGGGGGGGGGGGGGGATTTTGGCCTCTTAGTCTTGGGTTCTAAAGGGACCTTGTCCCGAGACAATGTGGACCTGGAGCCTAGGCCTACATAGAGCAGCGTTCTGCTCTTCTTCTCAGCTGGAAGAGTCCTGGAGTATGGCACATTCTCGGCTCTTCTCAGTAGGCCCTAAAGGAAATGGCCGGCTTGCAGAGACAGCTTTTCCATAGGGACTTATGGGGACTTCTCCGTGTCACTCAGCTGTCAGAATTTAGAAGTTCACTGGGCAGCAAAATCTTTGTCATCTGACCATCTAATGATGAAGGCAGGCTTAGCATCAAGAGTGGGAAGGGTTCAAAGCGGCTTGGGCATAAAGTCAGCCAACAAAGACAAACACAAGTACTTGCAGGAACTACAGCCTGGAATCAGTGGTCTCTCTGCAGAGGTCCAACATACCCACTGCTGATAGACCAACCCAACCCCTTTCCTGCTCACACACCAGCCTGTACCCTCCCTGATTCCCTGCAGTCAGCTGGGTGCCAAGGCTCTGGAGTCTGCTCTTGCTCCACCACAGTCCACCATCCAAATAGTGAGCCGCATACCAAAGACGTTCAACTCCCGCCAAGGTTTACTGCAATGACAGCACACCATTTACTTCCACCCAAAGCCACGCCCCCAACCAGTTCACAGACATCTTCGGGATCGTGATTAAGCCCTGCTGTAGGTGAAACCTGTTGGGGCATTGCTTTGGGTGGGGGCGAGTGGTGTGCTGTCCCATATATTCTTCTCAAATATAGTGACATATATTTCAAATGCTACAATTTTGGCCGTATTCAATATATTTAAAAAAAAAATTATATATATATATATATGTGTGTGTGTGTATATATATATATATATATATATATATATATATATATATACACAGACACACACATCTATCTCTCTCTCTCTCTCTCTCTCTATATATATATACAGTGGGGCAAAAAAGTATTTAGTCACCACCAATTGTACAAGTTCTCCCCCTTACAGAGATGAGAGAGGCCTGTAATTGGCATCATAGGGAGACCTCAACTATGAGAGACAAAATGAGGAAACAAATCCAGACAATCTCATTGGCTGATCTGGAAAGAATTTATTTGCAAATTATGGGGGAAAAATAAGTATTTGGTCGCCTACAAACAAGCAAGATTTCTGGCTCTCACAGACCTGGACCTTCTTCTTTAAGAGGCTCCTCTGTCCTGCACTCATTACCTGTATCAATGGCATCTGTTTGAACTTGTTATCAGTATAAAAGACACCTGTCCGCAACCTCAAACAGTCACACTCCAAACTCCACTATGGGGAAGACCAAAGAGCTGTCGAAGGACACCAGAAACAAAATGGTAGACCTGCACCAGGCTGGGAAGACTGAATCGGCAATAGGCAAGCAGCTTGGTGTGAACAAATCAACTGTGGGGGCAATAATTAGAAAATGGAAGACATACAAGACCACTGATAATCTCCCTCCATCTGGGGCTCCACGCAAGATCTCACCCCGTGGGGTCAAAATGATCACAAGAACGGTGAGCAAAAATCCCAGGACCACACGGGGGGGACCTAGTGAATGACCTGCAGAGAGCTGGGACCAACGTAACAAAGGCTACCATCAGTAACACACTACGCCGCCAGGGACTCAGATCCTGCAGTGCCAGACGTGTCCCCCTGCTTAAGCCAGTACATGTCCGGGGCCCGTCTGAAGTTTGCTAGAGAGCATTTGGATGATCCAGAAGAGGATTGGGAGAATGTCATATGGTCAGATGAAACCAAAATAGAACTGTTTGGTAGAAACACAACTCGTCGTGTTTGGAGGAGAGAGAATGCTGAGTTGCATCCAAAGAACACCATACCTACTGTGAAGCATGGGGGTGGCAACAACATGCTTTGGGGATGTTTCTCCGCAAAGGGACCAGGACGACTGATCCATGTACAGGACAGAATGAATGGGGCCATGTATCGTGAGATTTTGAGTGCAAACCTCCTTCCATCAGCAAGGGCATTGAAGATGAAACGTGGCTGGGTCTTCCAACATGACAATGATCCCAAACATACCGCCCGGGCAATGAAGGAGTGGCTTCGTAAGAAGCATTTCAAGGTCCTGGAGTGGCCTAGCCAGTCTCCAGATCTCAACCCCATAGAAAACCTTTGGAGGGAGTTGAAAGTCCGTGTTGCCCAGCGACAGCCCCAAAACATCACTGCTCTAGAGGAGATCTGCATGGAGGATGGGCCAACATACCAGCAACAGTGTGTGCCAACCTTGTGAAGACTTCCAGGAAACGTCTGACCTCTGTCATTGCCAACAAAGGATATATAACAAAGTATTGACATGAACTTTTCATATTCACCAAATACTTATTTTCCACCATAATTTGCAAATAAATTCTTTCCAGATCAGCCAATGAGATTGTCTGGATTTGTTTTCTCATTTTGTCTCTCATAGTTGAGGTCTCCCTATGATGCCAATTACAGGCCTCTCTCATCTTTGTAAGGGGGAGAACTTGTACAATTGGTGGGGACTAAATACTTTTTTGCCCCACTTTATATATATTTTTTTAAATATATTGAATATGGGCGAAATTGTAGCATTTCAAATATATGTCAATATATTTAGGAAGAATATTTTTAAAATATATTTCAAATATATTTTTCTTCCATGCGGGGTTGTTGCATAAAACCTTGGCGGGAGTTGAATGTCTTCGGTGAGCGGCTTGTTTTTTTAGATGGTGGACTAGAGTGGAGCAAAAGCAGCCTCCAGGGTAGGGCTGGGTGGGTAGGATGAGCAGCACGCTACCTAGGCTGGGGTTGAACGTCTTCGGCGTGTGGACTGTTTGGGTAGGACGCCCCCTGCTGAGTCAGCCCTCCAGACAGCGGGAGAGTGTGGAGTTGTTGATTGCAGACCTATAAGTCGTAACTGAGCCAGGAACATGTCAGACCTACGCAGAGAGACCACTGCTTCCACACAAGGGCCCTTCTCTGCAGCATTCTGCCGGGCGGCGGGGGGGGGGGGGGGGCAGGCTGTTTCATTAGCGATTTTGCCCTGATTAAGGAGATTTTCCTTCATTTCTTGTTTCAGGGACAAAAAGTCAACAGAGAACTCCAAAAGGAGGACAGGGGCATCCCTAAAAATCTGACAAAGGTTTTAACTCTTCCTCATTCCGCAACGAAATAAAAAAAAAAAAGTTTAGCACCAAGTTTTGATTTGATACTTTCATTTATAATTCAATTTTTTTGCCTTCCTCTGGATATACTGTGGGTGCAGGATTAGAACCTTTTTTTTTTTTTTTTTTTTAATGGTTGAACTGGATGGACTTTTGTCTTTTTTCAGCCAGACTAACTATGTAACTAAGTAACTACTGTATGTAAACTATGTAACTACTGTATGTAACTATGTAACTACTGTATGTAACTAAGTAACTACTGTATGTAACTATGTACTGTATGTAACTATGTAACTACTGTATGTAACTAAGTAACTACTGTATGTAACTAAGTAACTACTGTATGTAAGTATGTAACTAAGCAACTACTGTATGTAACTAAGCAACTACTGTATGTAACTATGTAACTACTGTATGTAACTATGTACTGTATGTAACTATGTAACTACTGTATGTAACTATGTAACTACTGTATGTAACTATGTACTGTATGTAACTATGTAACTACTGTATGTAACTATGTACTGTATGTAACTAAGTAACTACTGTACGTATGTAACTATGTAACTACTGTATGTAACTATGTACTGTATGTAACTATGTAACTAAGCAACTACTGTATGTAACTATGTAACTACTGTATGTAACTATGTACTGTATGTAACTAAGTAACTAAGCAACTACTGTATGTAACTATGTAACTACTGTATGTAACAATGTAACTACTGTATGTAACTAACTACTGTATGTAACTATGTAACTAAGTAACTACTGTATGTAACTATGTAACTACTGTATGTAACTATGTACTGTATGTAACTATGTAACTAAGCAACTACTGTATGTAACTACTGTATGTAACTATGTAACTAAGCAACTACTGTATGTAACTATGTAACTACTGTATGTAACAATGTAACTACTGTATGTAACTAACTACTGTATGTAACTATGTAACTAAGTAACTACTGTATGTAACTATGTAACTACTGTATGTAACTATGTACTGTATGTAACTATGTAACTAAGCAACTACTGTATGTAACTATGTAACTACTGTATGTAACTATGTAACTACTGTATGTAACTAACTACTGTATGTAACTATGTAACTAAGTAACTACTGTATGTAACTATGTAACTACTGTATGTAACTATGTACTGTATGTAACTATGTAACTAAGCAACTACTGTATGTAACTATGTACTGTATGTAACTATGTAACTAAGCAACTACTGTATGTAACTATGTACTGTATGTAACTATGTAACTAAGCAACTACTGTATGTAATTATGTACTGTATGTAACTATGTAACTAAGTAACTACTGAATGTAACTATGTAACTACTGTATGTAACTATGTAACTACTGTATGTAACTATGTAACTACTGTATGTAACTAACTACTGTATGTAACTAAGCAACTACTGAATGTAACTAACTACTGTATGTAACTATGTAACTACTGAATGTAACTATGTAACTAAGTAACTATTGAATGTAACTATGTAAATGAAGAATGAAATGAAAAGAAAAAACTTACTTCATAATAAGTTTGAACTGAGAAAATATCTCCTGGATTTGTCTGAGGCTAAGAATCTGATGGGAATAAAAAAAAACACAAAAAACAAAAACAATGAAGTTATTGAAATCCAGAGAAAACGAAGGTATAACAATGAGTACATATAAAAGGTGCAAGGAGAAGGAACGTCGCACAGCCACACAGTACAACAGCATCATACCAGGGGCGGACTGACCATTCGGGTACTCGGGCACTGCCCGAGGGCCCGGGGTCAGTAGGGGGCCCCATGAGATGCCCCTGGTACCTTTCATAGGCTTTTTTTGGGTGTGGTTTGAGTGTGGGTGTGGACACAGGGGTCCCATGATCCCCTATTGCCTGGGGGCCCCATGAGTTGTCAGTCCGCCCCTGCATCATACATATCTAAAGGATCCTTTCAAGAAGAATACTCTTCAGTCCGGGTTCACATACATGCGGTGCGGTACATCGCATGTGATTCGCCCAGGATCCGTGTCACATTCCTCTGCCAATCACATGCGGTTTGTGTGCGGTGCGATCGGAGTCGTACATTTTGTATGGCTCTATTCGCACCAAAAACACGCAGGACCCTTTAGCTGGTCCGCACTAGAATCGGATTGCATGGGCATTCACACCTATGCAGTGGTGTCCCGAGGCGGGTGCGGCCCACGCCGACCGCATGGGGTGACACCGGACCGGTAAGTTGTAGAGCAAGCCGACGATCCCCGCAGGATGGATCAGATCCATCCTGCGGGGATCGTCGGCTTTCTTTACAACTTACCGGTCCGGTGTCACCCCATATAGGTTGCATGCCGACGATCCCCACAGGATGTATCGGATCTGCGGATTGGGGAGCATAATGGATCGGATTCCAATCCATTATACTCAATACGCAGATCCCATCCATCCTGCGGGGATCGTCGGAGGGGGTGTCACCAAGTGTTACCGCACCGGGTGACATCAACCCTAGGGACGCCTCTGCACCTATGTGATCTGATTCTGCACATCGCACTGCGTTTTGTGGACCGATTTCTGGGTGTTGTTAACATACACAGCCGCAGCAGTTCGCATGAACGGGGTGCGATTCTGATGCGGTGCAGAATTCGCACTGAAAACGCAGCGAATTCCGCACCGCGTCAGCGTGAACCCGGGCTCAGGGTTCCATTGGTGCAACTTGGTTACAGGTAGCAAATACTCACTTCTATCTCGTCTATCTTCCCCTCCAGATATCTGCGGACCTGAGAGTTCATCTCTGCGATCTGGGTGTCGTTAAACGGTTCGTAGGTGATTTGCGTGCGATTGGCCTGAAACAAGGAACACCAGACGATGAACATGTAAAGATCTCCGAAACGGAACCCCTTTCTGCCTGTCATTCTCCCACATGGTGCCCCGTACAGAGGGAACATTAACCACATCAAGTCCAGACACTTTCACCCTCTTCCAGTCCGGACACTTTCCCCCCCCTCCAGTCCGGACACTTTCCCCCACTTCCAGTCCGGACACTTTCCCCCCCTTCCAGTCCAGACACTTTCACCCCCCTTCCAGTCCGGACACTTTCCCCCACTTCCAGTCCGGACACTTTCCCCCCCCCTCCAGTCCGGACACTTTCCCCCACTTCCAGTCCGGACACTTTCACCCCCTTCCAGTCCGGACACTTTTACCCCCTTCCAGTCCGGACACTTTTACCCCCTTCCAGTCCGGACACTTTTACCCCCTTCCAGTCCGGTCGCTTTTACCCCCTTCCAGTCCAGACGCTTTCACCCCCCTTTTAGTCCGGACGCTTTCACCCCCCTTCCAGTCGGGACGCTTTCACCCCCCTTCCAGTCCAGACGCTTTCACCCCCCTTCCAGTCCGGACGTTTTCACCCCCCTTCCAGTCCAGACGCTTTCACCCCCCTTCCAGTCCGAACGCTTTCACCCCCTTCCAGTCCGGACACTTTCACCCCCTTCCAGTCCGGACACCTTCAGCCCCCTTCCAGTCCGGACACTTTCCCCCCTTCCAGTCCGGACACTTTCCCCCCCTTCCAGTCCGGACACTTTCCCCCCCTTCCAGTCCGGACACTTTCCCCCCCTTCCAGTCCGGACACTTTCAACCCCCTTCCAGTCCGGACACTTTCCCCCCCTTCCAGTCCGGACACTTTCCCCCCCTTCCAGTCCGGACACTTTCCCCCCTTCCAGTCCGGACACTTTCCCCCCTTCCAGTCCGGACACTTTCACCCCCTTCCAGTCCGGACGCTTTCACCCCTTTCCAGTCCGGACACTTTCACCCCCTTCCAGTCCGGACACCTTCTGCCCCCTTCCAGTCCGGACACTTTCCCCCCTTCCAGTCCGGACACTTTCCCCCCATTCCAGTCCGGACACTTTCCCCCCCTCTTCATGTCTGGACACTTTCCCCCCCTTCCAGTCCGGACACTTTCACCCCTTTCCAGTCCGGACACTTTCACCCCCTTCCAGTCCGGACACCTTCTGCCCCCTTCCAGTCCGGACACTTTCCCCCCTTCCAGTCCGGACACTTTCCCCCCCCCATTCCAGTCCGGACACTTTCCCCCCCTCTTCATGTCTGGACACTTTCCCCCCCTTCCAGTCCGGACACTTTCCCCCCCTTCCAGTCCGGACGCTTTCCCCCCTTCCAGTCCGGACACTTTCAGCCCCTTCCAGTCCGGACACTTTTACCCCCTTCCAGTCCGGACACTTTCACCCCCTTCCAGTCCGGACACTTTCCCCCCCTTCCAGTCCGGACACTTTCCCCCCCTTCCAGTCCGGACACTTTTACCCCCTTCTAGTCCGGAAACATTCACCCCCTTCCAGTCCGGACACTTTTACCCCCTTCCAGTCCGGTCGCTTTTACCCCCTTCCAGTCCAGACGCTTTCACCCCCCTTCCAGTCCGAACGTTTTCACCCCCCTTCCAGTCCAGACGCTTTCACCCCCCTTCCAGTCCGGATGCTTTCACCCCCTTCCAGTCCGGACACTTTCACCCCCTTCCAGTCCGGACACCTTCAGCCCCCTTCCAGTCCGGACACTTTCCCCCCTTCCAGTCCGGACACTTTCCCCCCCTTCCAGTCCGGACACTTCCCCCCCCTTCCAGTCCGGACACTTTCAACCCCCTTCCAGTCCGGACGCTTTCACCCCCTTCCAGTCCGGACGCTTTCACCCCCTTCCAGTCCGGACACTTTCCCCCCCTTCCAGTCCGGACACTTTCCCCCCCTTCCAGTCCGGACGCTTTCACCCCCTTCCAGTCCGGACGCTTTCACCCCCTTCCAGTCCGGACGCTTTCACCCCCTTCCAGTCCGGACACTTTCCCCCCCTTCCAGTCCGGACACTTTCCCCCCCTTCCAATCCGGACACTTTCCCCCCCTTCCAGTCCGGACACTTTCCCCCCTTCCAGTCCGGACACTTTCCCCCCTTCCAGTCCGGACACTTTCCCCCCCTTCCAGTGGGCCCACTCCAGATGGGAAGCAGGGATGCTCAGGTGCCAATAACCAGTTCTGTAACCGTCATGAAGCCGTATGGCCCTCCCCCACCCTCACATTTTTTTTGTTTGGTGTTTTTTTTTTTTTTTTTTAATTGGTGACAACCTTCTACAAAATTTACATTGAGGCGAAGCGACCAATAAAAATGAAAATTGAGATTGTTACGATTTTACAAACTGGCCGGTGACCCTCGCTGGATGTTGTGCGTGTCACACGGGACGATCCCTTACCAGAGTGTCACGGAGGGTCAGCTCCCTGCGCAGGTGTTCGATCTCTTGCTGCAAATTTTTACACATTCGCTGCCAGAAGAAAACAAATCGCACACATGAGACACGGGGTGAGCATCTAAAGTGTATCTATGACCAACATTATTTTCAAAAAAAGTCTATGTCCAGCCTGAGACTTTGTCCGGCCATACACGGGTCGAAATTCGAACCGATTTTTCATCTGAAAATCGGACCTAAGAATAATCGGCCGATTGTCGCTCTGTTAGTGGGATCAATGGCACCGGCTGAATTTCATGGTTTTTCGTGGTGATCGGGCATGTTGGAAAATTCGTGAAAAACTCCCGACTCAATGATGGTCAAATCGTACGATCGTTTTTTCCGAAAAGAATATGCGCATAAGCTGTGATCTGGAAGGAACAGAAGCTTCACCTGTTATATGGGGTGAACTTTATGACTCGGTCGAAACGATTTTTCCAAATCATCGATGGCGCCATCGGATTACCGAGTGAACAACGTTTTCGATTTTTGGATGAAAAATCGTTCGGAATTCGAACCGTGTATGGCCGGCATTTATGAGTTCCCTGCTGGGTTCTGAACTTCAATAGGATGGCACTTACCACGGGGTCGTAGCGCTGGATGACGACGCACTCCGCCGGTATACACTTCATTCTGCTGGTGAATCGCAGAGTAGAGAGCTGAAGACATGGAAAAAATATATATTTTAAAAATACATTCTTAATATATTCTTCCCAAATATACTGACATATAATCCAAATACTACAATTTTGGCCGCATTCAATATATTTCAACAGATTTGCGAATATATTTTTTAAAAATATATTCAGAACACACGCTGAAAAATATTTTCAAAGTGTCCTTTGGAAAGCATTTAGATAGATATTTAGAAATCTATCTTTAAATGCATTTTTTTGATCGTTCAAAAATATCTGGAAAATATATTTGAAAAAAAATATATTTTTAAATACTGTATATGCCTTTGGAAAATATATTTTAATTTACATTTTTGGAATACATGTTAACTTCCCGTCCGGCCGTTGTATATAAACGGCCAGACGGTGGCAGTGCAGGGGCGGGTTGTCGTTTATAAACGGCCTCCCCGCCCCCTGCTTGTGCACCAGGGGCGGACTGACCATTTGGAAACTCGGGCACTGCCCGAGGGCCCGGGGTCAGTAGGGGCCCCATGAGATGCCCCTGGTACCTTTTTCATAGGCTTTTTTGAGTTTGGGCAAGGACACAGGGGCCCCATGATCCCCTATTGCCCGGGGGCCCCATGAGTTGTCAGTCCGCCCCTGTTGTGCACACTCCCTGTGAGTGCGCAGCACCGCGATCCAGTGCCCGCTGTGTCCTCCGGGCACAGTGGAACACCGATCGTCATACGGGACTTTTGTGTGAGGTCCCGATCATGTGATCACTGATTGGCCAATCAGTGATCACATGCAGAGTAGTAAGCAAGATGTCACTTCTGACATCGTTGCTTACTACGTGTGAAATCTGTGAATGATCACAGAGGTCACATGGTACAGGGCCATTCACAACAGCCTTGTACCATGTGACAAGCTGTGACCAATCACAGCTCGCACAATAGTTCTCAATGGCTGCAGGAATGCAGCCAGAGAGAAGGAGAAAATGATTGCTTTTACAGCCTTTATGGGTGTAAAAGCAATCAGTGTAAAAAAAAAAAAAAAAAAAAAAAAAAATCTTCATCACCCCCCCACCACAAGTAGTACAGTGTCACCATGGTTACACTGTACTGCTAGGGTGACAGTATGTAAAAAAAAAAACCCCAAAAAAAACAAATAATAATATAAAAAAATAAAATAAAAATGTGTAAAAAATGTTTAAAATTATAATTTTAGGTTTTAAACTAATTTGGTTTTTTTTTTTTTTTTACTAAAAAGATAACAGAATAAATTTTGGCCGAGATTTATGATGAAATATTATTTATTTGCAAAATTTTATAAGAAAAACACTTTTTCAAAATTTTTGGACTTTTCATTTACATAGCAAAAAAAAAATACTCCCAGCGGTGAATAAATACCACCAAAATAAAGTTTTATCTGTCTAAAAAAAAATGCTAAAAAATTCATATGGGTACAGTGTTGCATGACCGCGCAATTGTCATTCAAAGTGTGATAGCGCTGAAAGCTGAAAATTGGCCTGGACTGGAAGGGGGTGAAAGTGTCCGGACTGGAAGGGGGTGAAAGTGTCCGGACTGGAAGGGGGGGAAAGTGTCCGGACTGAAAGGGGGGAAAGTGTCCGGACTGGAAGGGGGTGAAAGTGTCCAGACTGGAAGGGGGTGAAAGTGTCTGGACTGGAAGGGGGTGAAAGTGTCTGGACTGGAAGGGGGGGAAAGTGTCCAGACTGGAAGAGGGGAAAGTGTCCGGACTGGAAGGGGGTGAAAGTGTCTGGACTGGAAGGGGGAGAAAGTGTCCAGACTGGAAGGGGGCGAAAGTGTCCGGACTGGAAGGGGGGGAAAGTGTCCGGACTGGAAGGGGGGGAAAGTGTCCGGACTGGAAGGCGGGGAAAGTGTCCGGACTGGAAGGGGGGAAAGTGTCCGGACTGGAAGGGGGTGAAAGTGTCCGGACTGGAAGGGGGTGAAAGTGTCCGGACTGGAAGGGGGGTGAAAGTGTCTGGACTGGAAGGGGGGGAAAGTGTCTGGACTGGAAGGGGGTGAAAGTGTCCGGACTGGAAGGGGGTGAAAGTGTCCAGACTGGAAGGGGGGGAAAGTGTCCGGACTGGAAGGGGGGGAAAGTGTCCGGACTGGAAGGGGGGGAAAGTGAAAAAGTGTCCGGACTGGAAGGGTGTGAAAGTGTCCGGACTGGAAGGGGGGGAAAGTGTCCGGACTGGAAGGGGGGGAAAGTGTCCGGACTGGAAGGGGGTGAAAGTGTCCAGACTGGAAGGGTGTGAAAGTGTCCGGACTGGAAGGGGGGGAAAGTGTCCGGACTGGAAGGGGGGGAAAGTGTCCGGACTGGAAGGGGGTGAAAGTGTCCAGACTGGAAGGGGGGGAAAGTGTCCGGACTGGAAGGGGGGGAAGTGTCTGGACTGGAAGTGGTTAAAATATATTTGTTTGGGCCAATATATTGTAAATATATGTCGCATGTATAATTTTTTTTTTCTAAATATATTGGAAATATATTTCTCTTCCATACGGGAAACTCGCGCTTCATGAAAAGATAAACATGGAGATTCTGAATGATTTCAGGTACAGCGTCCAATGAACTCGCTATCACCGCCGGAACAGCCGTGCTACTTCTGTAGAAGAATTTCGCAGAGCGCGAGTAAAAATGATAAAGTCCCACGTTTTAACGATATGTCTCTAACATACGAGGCGGTATCAAAAAGTTTCAAGACTAGTTTTGTAACACGCCGACAGAAAGCAGCACAAGGATGCACGCACGGTCACAGGGAGCACCGGCCTTCAAAACTCAGTGTGCTGAAAGACATCGTCCTGTGTACATCAGGAGCTGTGCAATTCTGACCACGTGCGTTGCCACGTCTGCTATTTCAGCGTGGACAGCAAGTTACAACAAAGGGCAAACGTGAAATTCTGCGTGAAACTGGGCAAATCTGCCGCAGAGACGTCAGACATGATTCGGCAAGTTTACGGCGATGTGGCAAAGAGGTATTTTGAGCGGCACACTTGCTTCAAGAGCGGACGAACATCACTGGAAGATGACAAGAGATCAGGAAGACCTTCAACAAGCTCAACCCCCGAAAATGCCCTCTTCCCGAAGATGAAGATCCGGCTCAAAGGTTGCTGTTATACAACGTTGCTGAGATCCAGCGATTTGCCCGGTTTCGCGCAGAATTTCACGTTGACTCTTTGTTCTAACTTCCTGTCCACGATGACATAGCAGACGTGGTAATGCACGTGGTCAGAATAGCACCAGTTGCACAGCTCCCGATGTACACAGGACAATGTCTTTTAGCACACTGACGTATGAAGGTCGGTGCTCCCTGTGACTGTGCGTGCAGCCTTGTGCTGCCATCTGTTTGTATATTAAAAAACTAGTGATACCCCCTCGTATGGCAGCTGTAAAAATAAAGAAATAAACACAATTGACGTAAGTCGGATCTGCCTACAAGACCTTACAATCTATACATCGGCACACTGTCAAAGGAAAGTAAACAATGGAGATGACTCGTTGGAGCAGCCATTCTCAACCAAGGTTCCTTGGATCCTTAGGGTTCCTCCAGAGTTTGGAAGGGGTTCCTTTTGCTGTGGCTAGTTGACCTCCCAGCTGATGATGCCTGCATGGTTCTGGGTCCAGGGCCACTTGGCAGAGCCAGCGGCATCACACCAAGGATCTCTCTAGCTGTCTGTACAGACGGCATTCTGATGACTGCTGTAAAGGGAGCATTCTTTCCATTGACCACTAATGAATTAAGGGGTTCCCTGAGGCCAGAAATATTTTACTAGCTCCTCAGGAAAAGAAATCTTGAGAAAGGCTGCATTAGAAGCCCCCTTTGATGTTTTTGGGGTTCTGATATTTGGTGAGAGGACACAGGAACTACAGTCTGTGAGGCACAAAGAGAAATGAATTGCACCCAGGTACAGTATATGGCACTGCCATCCATAGCCCATAGGTTGCTGTTGCTTGGAAGTAATTATGCTGAAAAACTCAATGCTGACTATGCTCTACGGCCAGACATTTGTTGACATCTGACCAACACATGTCTATGAACTTGTCAAACATCACGTTCCAATATTATGGGTATACCATCAAGCACAAAGACACACAATCTCCATTGACATGCGTTGCTTACAAAGACATTGTAGACATTTGTGCTCTACTAAGATGGTGGTAACAGTTTGGTGAAGACCCTTTTCTGTTCCACCATGACTGTGCCCCTATGTACTGAGCCAGCTCCATAAAGACATGGTTTGACCAGTCTGGTGTGTAGGAATTTGAGTGTCCTACACACAGCCCTGACCTCAACCCTACTGAATGCCTTTGGGATGAATTTTAACGCCGATTGTGAGCCAGGCCTTCTCAACCAACATCAGTATTTGACCTTCCAAATGGGCACAAGTTCCCACAGACACTTCAAACTCTTAGAGAATGCCTTCGTAGAAGAGTGGAGGAAGTTATAGCCACAAGGGGGTGAACTCTATATTAATGGACATGGTTTTGGAATGGGGGGACAACTCCATATTAATGTACATGGTTTTGGAATGGAGGTGAACTCCATATTAATGGACATGGTTTTGGAATGGGGGGCAACTCCATATCAATTGCTATGGTTTTGGAATAGGATGTCCAACAGCTCAACCTTGAGATAACAGGTTGGTGAAGACCCTTTTCTGTTCCAGCATGACTGTGCCCCTATGTACTGAGCCAGCTCCATAAAGACATGGTTTGACCAGTTTGGTGTGGAGGAACTTGAGTGTCCTACACACAGCCCTGACCTCAACCCTACTGAATGCCTTTGGGATGAATTTTACTAACAATCGTGAGCCAGGCCTTCTCATCCTACATCAGTATTTGACCTCACAAATGGGCACAAATTCCTACAGACACTGCAAACTCTTATAGAATGCCTTCGTAGAAGAGTGGAGGAAGTTATAGCCATACGGGGGTGAACTCCCTATTAATGGACATGGTTTTGGAATGGGGGGGCAACTCCATATCAATTGCCAAGGTTTAAGAATAGGATGTCCAACAGCTCAACCTTGAGATAATAGGTTGGTGAAGACCCTTTTCTGTTCCAGCATGACTGTACCCCTATATATTGAGCCAGCTCCATAAAGACATGGTTTGACCAGTTTGGTGTGTAGGAACTTGAATGTCCTACACAGAGCCCTGACCTCAACCCTACTGAATGCCTTTGGGATGAATTTTAACGCCGATTGTGAGCCAGGCCTTCTCATCCAACATCAGTTCTTGACCTCACAAATGGGCACAAATTCCCACAGACACAGCAAACCCTTATTGAATGCCTTCAGAGAAGAGTGGAGGAAGTTATAGCCACACGGGGGTGAACTCCCTATTGATGGACATGGTTTTGGAATGGGGGGCAACTCCATATCAATTGCCATGGTTTTGGAATAGGATGTCCAACAGCTCAACCTTGAGATAATAGGTTGGTGAAGACCCTTTTCTGCTCCACCATGACTGTGCCCGTGTGTACAAAGCCAGCTCCATAAAGACATGGATGACCAGTTTGGTGTGGAGGAACTGGGGTGTCCTATACAGAGCCCTGACCTCAACCATACTGAACACCTTTGGGATGAATGGGAATGACAATGGTGATCCAGGTCTTCTCATCCAACATCAGTACCTGACTTCATAAAGAATCTTTTGGCTTAAGGGACACAAATTCTTACAGAAAAAAACCGCAAAATTTATCAGGAAGCCTTCCCAGAAAAGTAGAGCCAGCTCCATAAAGACATGGTTTAACCAGTTTGATGTGGAGGAACTAGAGTGTCCTCAACAGTCCTGACCTCAACCCTACTAAACACCTTTGGGATGAACGGGAACGACAATGGTGATCCAGGTCTTCTCATCCAACATCAGTACCTGACTTCACAAAGGTTCTTTTGGCTTAAGGGACACAAATTCTCACAGAAAAAATACTTCAAAATTTAGCAGGAAGCCTTCCCAGAAAAGTAGAGCCAGCTCCACAAAGACATGGTTTGACCAGTGTGGTGTGGACGAACTAGAGTGTCCTCAACAGTCCTGACTTCAACCCTACTGAACACCTTTGGGGTAAATTGTAATGTAAAACCTTCTCATCCAACATCAGTACCCGACCTCACAAACGGGCACAAATTCCCACAGACACCCCCTAAAATCTTATAGAAAGCCTTCACAGAAGAGTGGCAGAAGTTATTGCCACATGGGAGTGAACTCCATAATGATGGCCATGGTTTTGTAATAGGATGGCCAACAGCAGAACCTTGTGGTAATAGTTTGATGAAGGCCCTTTTCTGTTCCACAATGACTGTGCCCCGTGTACAAAGTCAGCTCCGTAAAGACATGGTTTGACCAGTGTGGTGTGGAGGAACTTGAGTGCCCTGCACAGAACCCTGACCTCAACCTCACTGAATACCTTTGGGATGAATTGGAATCGCGATGGTGAGCCAGGTCTTCTCATCCAACATCAGTACCTGACCTCACAAATGGGCACAAATTCCCACAGACACCCTCCAAAATCTTGTGGAAAGTCTTCCTAGAAAAGTGGAGGATGGTATAGCCACAAAGTAGGACCAACTCTATGTTAATGGTCGTGGTTTTGGAATGGAAGGCAACTCCACATTAATGGCCATGGTTTTTGAATAGGTTGTCCAAAAGCTCAACATTGTGGTAACAGTTTGATGAAGACTCTTTTCTGTTTTACCATGACTGTGCCCCTGTGTACAAAGCCAGCTCCACAAAGACACGGACAGCCAGTTTGGTGTGGAGGAACTCGAGTGTCCTGAACTCAACTGTCATGAACACCTCTGGGAAGAACTGGAACTCTGACGGTGAGACAGTTTTTATCCAACATCAGTACCTCACCTCAAAAATGGGCACAAAAAGATTCCACAAACACCCTCCCAAATCCAAAAGCCTTCCCAAAAGAGTGGAGGATGTTGTAGCTGCAAAGGGAGCGACTCCAAATTAATGGCCACGGTTTTTGACTGGGGGGGGGAACAAATCCATATTAATGCCACTGGATTTGGAATAGGATGTCCAACAAACTCATATAGGTGTGGTGGTCATGGTCAGGATTGCACATGGTTTCAGCATGGAGGTTCTAATCAGGTGGGATCAGAGGCACCATACAGACTTGGTTATCCTCTATTTTGGTTTGCAACATCCTAGCAATGCGGTTAGTCCGTATTTATCTATACGCAAATCCTGACCACCTGTGTGAACACCACATAATACTCACAGTCTCATCAATCTGAGCCGCCTCGCCGTACACATTCGCCACCAACACCGTATTACAGTTTCCTCCTGTTTGGAAAAACAAATAATCAATCACAACGTCACAGCTCTGCAGGAGATATTCTGACATGTTTTGTCTACGAGCCCACAGTGCTACCCCTCACACTCTCCACTCAGTATGTTCGTTTTTGACACATGGGGGGCAGATTTACTAAACCTGGTGCATTTCATATCTGGTAGAACTGTGCATTGTAACCAATCATCTTCTAACTTAAACTTGGTCAATTAAGCCTTGGCCATAAAACTTGAAAGCTGATTGGTTTCTACGCAGAACTGCACCAGATTTTGCATTCTTCACTTTTAGTAAATAACCCCCATGGCATCCTCTCACGGCTTCAACTACCACCTATATGCTGACGACACACAAATCTATCTCTCAACCCCCCACCTCACCCCCTCGGTCTCTGCCCGAATCACACACCTGCTGAGCGACATATCAGACTGGATGTCGCTCCACTTCCTTAAACTGAACCTCCCCAGCCCGCACACACACCCCCCATTGACTTCTCCATCACATCCAACAACGCCACCATCAAACCCGCCCCGCAGGCCAGAGTACTTGGTGTCATTCTGGACTCCAACCTATCCTTCCAGCCCTAAGTCCAATCTTTAACAAGCTCGTGCCGCCTCCACTTCCGCAACAGGCAGACTCCACCTCCGCAACATCACCAAAATCCACACGTTCCTAACCCCAGAAACCACTAAACAGCTCATCCACTCCCTCATCATATCACGACTCGACTACTGCAACTCCCTCCTCACTGGCCTGCCTGGCCACAGGCTATCCCCACTACAGTCCATCCTGAATACGGCTGCCAGACTCATTCACCTTTCCAACCGCTCCATCTCCGCCACCCCCCCTCTGCCAATCCCTCCACTGGCCTCCACTCAGTGTCCTCCACCCCTCTCTGCCAATCCCTCCACTGGCCTCCACTCAGTGTCCTCCACCCCCCTCTGCCAATCCCTCCACTGGCCTCCACTCAGTGTCCTCCACCCCCCTCTGCCAATCCCTCCACTGACCTCCACTCAGTGTCCTCCACCCCCCTCTGCCAATCCCACCACTGGCCTCCATTCAGTGTCCTCCACCCCCTCTGCCAATCCCTTTACTGGCCTCCACTCAGTGTCCTCCACCCCCCTCTGCCAATCCCTCCACTGGCCTCCACTCAGTGTCCTCCACCCCTCTCTGCCAATCCCTCCACTGGCCTCCACTCAGTGTCCTCCACCCCTCTCTGCCAATCCCTCCACTGGCCTCCATTCAGTGTCCTCCACCCCCCTCTGCCAATCCCTCCACTGGCCTCCACTCAGTGTCCTCCACCCCCCTCTGCCAATCCCTCCACTGGCCTCCATTCAGTGTCCTCCACCCTCCTCTGCCAATCCCTCCACTGGCTTCCAATTGCACAACGGATCAAATTCAAAATCCTAACACTGACGTACAAAGCCGTCCACCACACTTCCCGAACTACATCACCGACCTAATATCCAAGTACCGCCCAACACGCACACTCCGCTCCTCACAAGACCTCCTTCTCTCTAGTTCCCTGGTCTCCTCCTCCCATGCCCGCCTCCAGGACTTCTCCAGGGTGTCACCCATCCTCTGGAACTCCCTGCCCCAACCCATCAGATTATCACCTACTCTCCTCTCCTTTAGGCGCACCCTGAAAACCCATCTCTTCAGGAAGCCTACCCCACCCCCTGCTAACTTGACCGACCTCCTCCACTCTTCCTACCACTCCATCCCCCACAGCTATCTCCTCCTGTGCCACCATCCCCTCCCTCCTAGATTGTAAGCTCCAAAGAGCAGGGCCCTCGATCCCCTCATGTTTTGCATTGTATTGGTATTGTTCTGTCACATGTTCTGTCCCCTTCGTAATGTACAGCGCTGAGCCAACTATCAGCGCTTTATAAATACTGAATAATAATATAATAATAATAATAATGTATCCCTTACAAGCCAGCCTAATGTTAAATCCTACTTCTTCAAGGTTCAATGGTTAGCAGGTATTGTAAGGAGCAAGTATTTACCCTGACAACCCGCCATTACTGGAACTACAAGGAAAACCTATTTTGGGGTATAATGGAGGAAGGGACCTCCCTTTGTCTCCTACAAAACAGCACTTGGTGTCTGATCAGCCAATCGCCAGGCCTAGGTACTGTCACTGGAGGGTGTGAGAGGGGTCCTTAGCCCCGTTTAAGCTCAGGCCTAAAAAAGGATCAGACCCTACACAGACATTTTTGCAGACTCCAGCAGGCAACATCGGGGGAACATGTGAAAGACGCACACTGCTTACCATTCTTGCTATTCAGTGGACCTGTTACAATGGTATTGGCAAGTCCAAAAATGAACGTTTCACTCTATACCTCTCCAAAACAATTGAACCAACCAAAGCGCACAAGAGGCCACTTTGTGACAGCCAAGATAAGTAGAAAGGGGACTAATGTCCATCAGACATGGAGATCTATGGTGCACTATGGTTGGGTTCCTGCAGCTCCTCCCAACGATCCAGGCTGATTGATTATAATGAGACAAATAGAACAGGATCCAGTTAAAAGAATGTGTAGATTTATTGGTTATAAAAGAGAAGAAAACAGGTTCCAAAAGTTAGACCATAGGGAGTTGGATATTCACTCTCAACATATCAGCCCCGAAGGGGTTCACCCCTGGTTCACATAGAGCTCTGAGGAAGAAGGCATGGCCTTCGAGGCACGTCGGCTATACTGAGTGTCTACCCCCATGATGGGATTCACGCTGGCTTCTTATCTTTGAAGTCCCTTTGAGGACTACATGCCTTCTATTAATAAATTCTGTTACTGAGGTAATGCGCAAGGTTGATGCGCTTCTTGTTTTTTGTTTCACTTCACATACAGTTGTGTTCAAAATAATATCAGTGTGTTGAAAAAAAGTGACTAAAGCTGAAAATCCTTCTAATAGCTTTTATTTCCATCCACACAAATGCATTGGGAACACGACACATTCTATTCCAAATCACAACATGAAGAAAAATACATCAAATTTGTGTTGTTCCTCTAAAAAAATGGAAGAAAAGTGAATATTAGACGGTTCAAAAAAATCGCAGTGTTTGTATTCTTCTTTACAAACTCCAACATTCACTATATAAACTGAGAAATGTTTGAAGATTTTGCTTTCCTTTGAATGACTTCATGAATATTTGGTTGTAGTCGCACTGTTTCTGAGAACTGCTGTACATCTGTGTTGCATGGAGTCCCCCAACTTCTGGCCCCTGTGATCAGGTATTCCAGCCCAGGATGATTGGACCACATTCCACAGTTCTTCTCTATTTCTTGGTTTGGCCTCAGAAACGGCATTTTTGATGTCACCCCACAAGTTTTCTATTGGATGAAGATCCGGGGATTGGGCTGGCCGCTCCATAACGTCCATCTTGTTGGTCTGGAACCAAGATGTTGCACGTTTACTGGTGTGTTTGGGGTGGTTGTCTTGTTGGAACCCCCATTTCAAGGGTATTTCCTCTTCAGCATAAGGCAGCATGACCTCTTCAAGTATTCTGATGTATTCAAACTGATCCATGATCCCTGGTATGTGATAAATAGGCCCAACACCGTAGTATGAGAAACCTCCCCATATCATGATGCTTGCACCACCATGCTTCACGGTCTTCACAGTGTACTGTGGCTGGAATTCAGTGTTTGGGGGTCGTCTGACAAACTGTCTCCGCCCACTAGACCCAAAAAGAACAATCTTACTTTCATCAGTCCACAAAATGTTGCGTCATTTCTCTATAGGCCAGTCAATGTGCTCTTTGGCAGATTGTAACCTCTTCAGCACATGTCTTTTCCCAACAGTGGGACTTTGCGGGGACTTCTTGCAGATAGCTTGGCTTCACATCGGCGTCTTCTAATTGTAACAGTCCTCACAGGGAACATCACACCTTCTTTCATCTTCCTGGAGCTGATTGTTGGCTGAGTCCTCACAGGGAACGTCACACCTTCTTTCATCTTCCTGGGGCTGATTGTTGGCTGAGTCCGCGCCATTTTGCTATTCATCTATCCATTCCAATGGTAGTTTTTCGCTTTCTTCCACATCTTTCAGGTTTTGGTTGCCATTTTAAAGCATTTGCCATCAGTTTAGCTGAGCAGCCGATCATTTTCTGCACTTCTTTATATGTTTTCCCCTCTCCAATCAACTTTTTAATCAAGGTACGCTGTTCTTCTGAACAATGTCTGGAACCACCCATTTTCCTCAGAATGTCAGAGAGAAATGCACTGTAACCAGCATGTCCAACATTTGCTGCCTTCCTTCCTTAAATAAGGGCAATCATTGCCACCTGTTTATCAAAGAATGAATGACCTCACTAATAGAACTCCACACTGCTATTATTGTGAACACACGCCCCTTTCAATGAGTGATTCAATGACACAGAATCAGCAGCATGCATGTCATGACTGTTGGGTCTGTTGGATTTCTATGACTCTACTACACCTGCTAGGAAATTATCTGCCATGTAGAAATATCATTTCCACCAAAAACAGTGATTGATCCGGTTAGTGATGTCTGACTGCTAGTATTTTGAACACAAACTGAATATAGCAAAAAAAATAAAAAATCCCAGCGGTGAATAAATACCACCAAAATAAAGCTTTATCTGTCTCAAAAAAATTTCATATGGGTACAGTGTTGCATGACCGCGCAATTGTCAGTGAGATAGCGCTGAAAGCTGAAAATTGGCCTAGGCAGGAAGGGGTGAAAGTGTCCGGACTGGAAGGGGGTGAAAGTGTCCGGACTGGAAGGGGGTGAAAGTGTCCGGACTGGAAGGGGGTGAAAGTGTCCGGACTGGAAGGGGGTGAAAGTGTCTGGACTGGAGGGGGGTGAAAGTGTCTGGACTGGAAGGGGGTGAAAGTGTCCGGACTGGAAGCGGGTGAAAGTGTCCGGACTGAAGGGGGGGAAAGCGTCCGGACTGGAAGGGGGTGAAAGTGTCCGGACTGGAAGGGGGTGAAAATGTCCGGACTGGAAGGGGATTAAAATGTCCGGAATGGAAGGGGATTAAAATGTCCGGACTGGAAGGGAATGAAAATGTCCGGACTGGAAGGGGGGGGAAAGTGTCCGGACTGGAAGGGGTGAAAATGTCCAGACTGGAAGGGGATTAAAATGTCCGGACTGGAGGGGGGTGAAAGTGTCTGGACCGGAAGGGGATGAAAGTGTCCGGACTGGAAGGGGGGGAAAGTGTCCGGACTGGAAGGGGGGGGAAAGTGTCCGGACTGGAAGGGGGTGAAAATGTCCGGACTGGAAGGGGTGAAAGTGTCCGGACTGGAAGGGGGGGTGAAAGTGTCCGGACTGGAAGGGGGTGAAAGTGTCCGGACTGGAAGGGGGGGTGAAAGTGTCCGGACTGGAAGGGGGAGAAAGTGTCAAGACTGGAAAGGGGGGAAAGTGTCCGGACTGGAAGGGGGGAAAGTGTCCGGACTGGAAGGGGGGGAAAGTGTCCGGACTGGAAGGGGGGGAAAGTGTCCGGACTGGAAGGGGGTGAAAGTGTCCGGACTGGAAGGGGGGGAAAGTGTCCGGACTGGAAGGGGGTGAAAGTGTCCGGACTGGAAGGGGGTGAAAGCGTCCGGACTGGAAGGGGGTGAAAGCGTCCGGACTGGAAGGGGGGGAAAGTGTCTGGACTGGAAGGGGAGGAAAGTGTCCGGACTGGAAGGGGGTGAAAGTGTCCGGACTGGAAGGGGGTGAAAGTGTCCGGACTGGAAGGGGGGGAAAGTGTCCGGACTGGAAGGGGGTGAAAGTGTCCGGACTGGAAGGGGGGGAAAGTGTCCGGACTGGAAGGGGGTGAAAGTGTCCGGACTGGAAGGGGGTGAAAGTGTCCGGACTGGAAGGGGGGGAAAGTGTCCGGACTGGAAGGGGGGGAAGTGTCCGGACTGGAAGGGGTTAAGCTGGATACTCTCTGCTGGAATGTAAAGAAGAGCCCCGCACTGTCACCCACCTTCCTGCTCGCTGCCTTCTCCGGCATGCAAAGTGAGCTGCTCATGTGCAGCTCACCCTACATCGCTGGCACGGTCCCTGCAATGCCGGGATAACCAACTCCTGTGCGCGCGCAAAAGTGTCATCCCATGCAGGCCAATGAAGACGGCCAAAGACCGGCACCCAGGGGTAGATACCAGCACCTTCGGGGGACAGAGGCTGTTGAAGGAAAGGTAACTGCGTCATTGTGGTGCACATGCGCGATGTGAAGATGATCTCTGCCGGGTCCCGAAGGGTGAGCGCTGCCCTTGAGTACACCTGTGCATGTATGCGCAATCCTTGTGATGTCATATCTCACCTAGCGAGTCCTTGAGGGCGTGAGTGAGTTTGCTCTGCCTGTACGGGACGTGGTCACGGCGGTCGGCCAGCGCAATGATGGCTTGTTCCAGGAAAGTCAGGGACTTGTTGATGTAAGTAGCTTCCTTCAAGACCTGACCTTCAGACTGAGAGACAGAAACAGAAATAGAGATTTACGGAAAGCATCACACGCTATGTGTCCCCCCCCCCCCCCCCCCACGTGACTCTTCCCCCCACTTCTCGCTCAGGATCAATAGCACCGCTATCAACCCATCCCCCGCATGCCAGGGTGCTAGGGGGAACCCCGGATTCTGAACTATCCTTTCAGGCCCATCCAATCCCTGTCCAAATCATAGCGCCTCAACCCCCCCCCCCCCCCCCCCCCCCACCACAAAGCTTCTAATTCCCTCCCTGGTCATCTCTCACCTCGACTACTGCAACTCACTCCTCATTGGATGACCTTCACAGAGGCAACCCTCCCCCCTCCAGTCCATCATGAATACGGCTGCCAGACTTATCCACTTTACCAACCATTCAGTGTCCTCCACCCGTCTCTGCCAATCCCTCCACTGGCCTCCACTCAGTGTCCTCCACCCCCCTCTGCCAATCCCTCCACTGGCCTCCACTCAGTGTCCTCCACCCCTCTCTGCCAATCCCTCCACTGGCCTCCACTCAGTGTCCTCCACCCCCCTCTGCCAATCCCTCCACTGGCCTCCATTCAGTCTCCTCCACCCCTCTCTGCCAATCCCTCCACTGGCCTCCACTCAGTGTCCTCCACCCCTCTCTGCCAATCCCTCCACTGGCCTCCATTCATTGTCCTCCACCCTCCTCTGCCAATCCCTCCACTGGTCTCCATTCAGTGTCCTCCACCCCTCTCTCTGCCAATCCCTCCACTGGTCTCCATTCAGTGTCCTCCACCCCGCTCTGCCAATCCCTCCACTGGCCTCCACTCAGTGTCCTCCACCCCCCTCTGCCAATCCCTCCACTGGCCTCCACTCAGTGTCCTCCACCCCCCTCTGCCAATCCCTCCACTGGCCTCCATTCAGTCTCCTCCACCCCTCTCTCTGCCAATCCCTCCACTGGCTTCCAGTCGCCCCAACAAATAAAATTTAAAATACTGCCAACAACTTACAAAGCCATCCACAACTCCGCCCCGGCTACATGACCAACCTGGTCTCAAAATATCAACCAAACCGCTCTCTTCTATCCTCCCGAGACCTTCTGCTCTCTAGTTCCCGTGTCACCTCCTCCCATGCTCACCTCCAGGACTTTTTCCAAGCTTCTCCCATCCTATGGAACTCCCTACCCCAATCTGTCCGGCTGTCTCCTAATCTATCCACCTTTAGACGATCCCTGAAAACCTTTCTCTTTAAAGAAGCCTCTCCTGCTTCTACCTAGTAAACTGCCATTTATTTCCTCCATCAGCTCCTCCCCCCCACAGCTATTACCTTTTGTATCACTCAACCCCTCCTCCTAGATTGTAAGCTCTTAGGATCAGGGCCCTCTGATTCCTCTTGTACCAAATTGTATTGTAACTGTCATGTCTGCCTTCATTTTGTACAGAGCTGCGCACACTGTTGGCGCCATATAAATCCTGTATTATAATACTAATGTGTTCCGCTGGTCTATTCAGTTTTGGATGGATGACGGCACCCAAAGGATGGTCACAGCAGGGGGGGGGACTTTGCTGAGAGGTCTTCCTGCTGGGGGATGTCAATCTGTCACATTTTTTGACAGGGAAAAACCATCCAATCACAAGCTGGAAAGGCGAGCGGAAACAAATGCTTCTAATGGCCATTGCTTCCGGTTGCCATAAAAGGGGCCAATCAGAGCCTGAGCTTAGAATATGGCGTCAGATAGGGGCGGGATCAAGACGTTTAACCTGACTTCTATCTTGCTATCATACGGTCACATCTGCAGACACATTCCCATACTCACCCCGGTCTTCCCCAATCTCTCAGAACCCGCCAGGTCCACCAGGTTGATCTTTGACACCGTGTACTTCGCATTGGATAACGTCCTGGACTGGGACTGAAGAATGAAAACACGTTAAACTGCAAAGCAGAAATCACAACGGGGTCTGTTTAAAAAAAAAAAGATAAAAAAAGTTGCTGTGTGAATGTCTCCAGCTGTAGCACAATCATCACGAACAATCCTTGTAATTTGCCTAAAATGTTCATTTCCTATGAGTGACAGCTCCATCTGGTGGTCAAAATGCTGCATTTTCCTGAGATATCTTAAAATGATACTAAACTCAAGACCCCGCATTCACTATATCCGCTCTCCCCGGACCCCGCATTCACTATATCCGCTCTCCCCAGACCTCGCATTCACTATAACCGCTCTCCCCGGACCCCGCATTCACTATATCCGCTCTCCCCGGACCCCGCATTCACTATGTCCGCTCTCCCCGGACCCCGCATTCACTATATCCGCTCTCCTCGGACCCCGAATTCACTATATCCGCTCTCCCCGGATCCCGCATTCACTATATCCGCTCTCCCCGGACCTCGCATTCACTATATCCGCTCTCCCCGGACCCCGCATTCACTATATCCGCTCTCCCCGGGCCCCGCATTCACTATATCCGCTCTCCCCGGGCCCCGCATTCACTATGTCCGCTCTCCCCGGACCCCGCATTCACTATATCCGCTCTCCCAGGACCCCGCATTTACTTTATCCGCTCTCCCCGGACCCCGCATTCACTATATCCGCTCTCCCCGGACCCCGCATTCACTATATCCGCTCTCCCAGGACCCCACATTTACTTTATCCGCTCTCCCCGGACCCCGCATTCACTATATCCGCTCTCCCCGGACCCCACATTCACTATATCCGCTCTCCCCGGACCCCGCATTCACTATATCCCCTCTCCCCGGACCCCGCATTCACTATATCCGCTCTCCCCGGACCCCGCATTCACTATATCCGCTCTCCCCGGACCCCGCATTCACTATATCTGCTCTCCCCGGACCCCGCATTCACTATATCCGCTCTCCCCGGACCCTGCATTCACTATATCTGCTCTCCCCGGACCCCGCATTCACTATATCCGCTCTCCCAGGACCCCGCATTTACTTTATCCGCTCTCCCCGGACCCCGCATTCACTATATCTGCTCTCCCCGGACCCTGCATTCATTATATCCGCTCTCCCCGGACCCCGCATTCACTATATCCCCTCTCCCCGGACCCCGCATTCACTATATCCGCTCTCCCCGGACCCCGCATTCACTATATCTGCTCTCCCCCCCGGACCCCGCATTCACTATATCCGCTCTCCCCGGACCCTGCATTCACTATATCTGCTCTCCCCGGAACCCGTATAACAAGCATGCTTTACTCCATCTACAGACTGATTGTACTGTGGGGGGTTTAGTAACAAAGTTTAATTTTTTGTTCAAATTGTCTTCAGCAATATCTTGGCTTGTATGTGGCCCTGGGGGGCCCGGAGCTCTGGGTGAGAAGTATTTTGTGATATCCTGTATGATGGATGAAAACACTCCGCGGGTTCTGCTCTTCAGTCGTCTCCCACACAGGAGTTCATGCAATCACTCACCTCCACATGTATGGTGAAGATACAATGGGACCGAGAAGAGTGTTTATTCAGGATGTGCGATCCTATGATCCGGTTTGTCTCCCCCTAATGGAGAAAAATGAAGAAAAAACAATCAACAGTTTTGTGATTTCTAAGCTGGTGACCTGTACAGTGAGGCCTGAGGCAGACATGACAGTACAGAGGCAGCAGCACCACACGTTAAGGGCCCATTCACACCCATGTGTATTGACACACCCCTTCATTTTAACCCCTCTTCTACAGGGCACTTCTACCCCCTTCCTGTCTACCGGGCACTTCTACCCCCTTCCTGCCTACCGGACACTTCTACCCCCTTCCTGCCTGCCGGGCACTTCTACCCCCTTCCTGCCTACAGGGCACTTCTACCCCCTTCCTGCCTACAGGGCACTTCTACCCCCTTCCTGCCCACCGGACACTTCTACCCCCTTCCTGCCTACAGGGCACTTCTACCCCCTTCCTGCCTACAGGGCACTTCTACCCCCTTCCTGCCCACAGGGCACTTCTACCCCCTTCCTGTCTACCGAACACTTCTACCCCCTTCCTGCCTACCGGACACTTCTACCCCCTTCCTGCCTACAGGGCACTTCTACCCCCTTCCTGCCTACAGGGCACTTCTACCCCCTTCCAGCCTACAGGACACTTCTACCCCCTTCCTGCCTACAGGGCACTTCTACCCCCTTCCTGCCTACAGGGCACTTCTACCCCCTTCCTGCCTACCGGGCAGTTCTACCCCCTTCCTGCCCACCGGACACTTCTACCCCCTTCCTGCCTACAGGGCACTTCTACCCCCTTCCTGCCTACCGGGCACTTCTACCCCCTTCCTGCCTACCGGGCACTTCTACCCCCTTCCTGCCTACAGGGCACTTCTACCCCCTTCCTGCCTACAGGGCACTTCTACCCCCTTCCTGCCTACAGGACACTTCTACCCCCTTCCTTCCTACCGGGCACTTCTACCCCCTTCCTGCCTACCGGGCACTTCTACCCCTTTCCTGCCTACCGGGCACTTCTACCTCCTTCCTGCCTACAGGACACTTCTACCCCCTTCCTGCCTACTGGACACTTCTACCCCCTTCCTGCCTACCGGGCACTTCTACCCCCTTCCTGCCTACCGGGCACTTCTACCCCCTTCCTGCCCACCGGGCACTTCTACCCCCTTCCTGGCCACTGGGCACTTCTACCCCCTTCCTGCCTACAGGGCACATCTACCCCCTTCCTGCCCACCGGGCACTTCTACCCTTTCCTGCCTACAGGACACTTCTACCCCCTTCCTGCCTACCGGGCACTTCTACCCCCTTCCTGCCTACAGGGCACTTCTACCCCCTTCCTGCCTACAGGGCACTTCTACCCCCTTCCTGCCTACCGGGCACTTCTACCCCTTTCCTGCCTACCGGGCACTTCTACCTCCTTCCTGCCTACAGGACACTTCTACCCCCTTCCTGCCTACCGGGCACTTCTACCCCTTTCCTGCCTACCGGGCACTTCTACCTCCTTCCTGCCTACAGGATACTTCTACCCACTTCCTGCCCCTTGGGCACTTCTACCCCCTTCCTGCATACAGGGCACTTCTACCCCCTTCTTCCTGCCCACCGGGCACTTCTACCCCCTTCCTGCCTACCGGGCACTTCTACCCCCTTCCTGCCTACAGGGCACTTCTACCCCCTTCCTGCCTACAGGGCACTTCTACCCCTTCCTGGCCACTGGGCACTTCTACCCCCTTCTGCCTACAGGGCACTTCTACCCCCCTTCCTGCCTACAGGGCACTTCTACCCCCTTCCTGCCCAGGCCAATTTTCAGCTTTCAGCGCTGTCACACTTTGAATGACAATTGTGCGGTCATGCAACACTGTACCCATATGACATTTGTATCATTTTTTTTTAGACAGATAAAGCTTTATTTTGGGGGTATTTAATCACCTCGGGGTTTTTTATTTTTTTGCTAAACAAACCAAAAACAACTGAAATTTTTGGAAAAAAAAAAAGTTTTTTCTTAGTTTCTGTTATAAAATTTTGTAAATAAGTGATTTTTCTCCTTCACTGATGTGCGCTAATGAGGCTGCAGTGATGGGCACTGATGGGCACTAATGAGGAGGCACTGATAGGTGGCACTGATGGACATTGACAGGCATCACTGATGGGCACTGAAAGGCAGCTCTCATTTATGGCACTGATAGGCGGCACTGACTGGCACTGATAGGTGCAGGGGCGGACTGACAACTCATGGGGCCCCGGGCAATAGGGGATCATGGGGCCCCTGTGTCCTTGCCCACACTCAAAAAAAGCCTATAAAAAAGGTACCAGGGGCATTTTATGGGGCCCCCTACTGACCCTGGGCCCTCGGGCAGTGCCTGAGTGCTCGAATGGTCAGTCCGCCCCTGGACAGGTGGCACTGACTGGAATTAATAGGTGGCATTGAAAGGCAGCTCAAGTGGGCACTGATATGTGGCATTGATGGACACTGACAGGTGGCACTGATGGGGCTACACTGATGATCAGAGTCCCCTCTGAGGAATGTCGATTACCGGCTCTCCTCTCCTCACATGGTGTCAGGGTGACAGCTCCTGAGGAGAGAAATGGCGATTTCACGTTGATTAGGTTGGAGTCTTGAAGTGATGCTTTCCTATTACAAGTGAACTGGAGGAATATTTCCAGTTATTACCCCAAAGTGTTGGGAAAGCAGGTCTGACCTTTGTGTGGATCAAACCTTGAGAGTGCTGTGCAGCTTGTTGCTCAGGTTGTTGCGCATACATTGCTGGCTGTGTCACTTCGTGAGGATTCTGACAAACAGGACAAAGGATACCCCCACCACCGGTACATGGAGGATGCTGGAGGACTAACCCCTAGGCTGCTCCCCTGTTCCTGCACCCAGATGTGACAGATTGTAACCAAAGCTTGCTTACATCTCATTTCTGGTGAGTGCGCACCAATCAGAGGTGGGGGATTCCCTCCAAGGATATGCGCACATCTGCACTTTGTTCACTTGGATAGATTATGATTTCATCTGAGGACTACTTCTGTTTATTTTCTCTACTGATGAGATTGGAGATAAATACGGACATTTATTTATTCACTTTTATGCACATATTGCACTGAATAGCACTTTGAATATTTTGATATCTATATGAATTGTCATTTTTTTTATTATTTATAGCGCTGCACTTTATCTATTATATATATATATACAGTTGTGTTCAAAATAATATCAGTGTGTTGATAAAAGTGACTAAAGCTGAAAATCCTTCTAATAGCTTTTATTTCCATCCACACAAATGCATTGGGAACACGACACATTCTATTCCAAATCACAACATGAAGAAAAATACATCAAATTTGTGTTGTTCCTCTAAAAAAATGGATGAAAAGTGAATATTAGACGGTTCAAAAAAATGGCCGTGTTTGTATTCTTCTTTACAAACTCCAACATTCACTATATAAACTGAGAAATGTTTGAAGATTTTGCTTTCCTTTGAATGACTTCATGAATATTTGGTTGTAGTCGCACTGTTTCTGAGAACTGCTGTACATCTGTGTTGCATGGAGTCCCCCAACTTCTGGCCCCTGTGATCAGGTATTCCAGCCCAGGATGATTGGACCACATTCCACAGTTCTTCTCTATTTCTTGGTTTGGCCTCAGAAACCGCATTTTTGATGTCACCCCACAAGTTTTCTATTGGATGAAGATCCGGGGATTGGGCTGGCCACTCCATAACGTCCATCTTGTTGGTCTGGAACCAAGATGTTACACGTTTACTGGTGTGTTTGGGGTCGTTGTCTTGTTGGAACCCCCATTTCAAGGGCATTTCCTCTTCAGCATAAGGCAGCATGACCTCTTCAAGTATTCTGATGGATTCAAACTGATCCATGATCCCTGGTATGCGATAAATAGGCCCAACACCGTAGTATCAGAAACATCCCCATATCATGATGCTTGCACCACCATGCTTCACGGTCTTCACAGTGTACTGTGGCTTGAATTCAGTGTTTGGGGGTCGTCTGACAAACTGTCTCCACCCACTAGACCCAAAAAGAACAATCTTACTTTCATCAGCCCACAAAATGTTGCCCCATTTCTCTTTAGGCCGGTCAATGTGCTCTTTGGCAGATTGTAACCTCTTCAGCACACGTCTTTTTTCCAACAGTGGGACTTTGCGGGGGGCTTCTTGCAGATAGCTTGGCTTCACATAGGCGTCTTCTAATTGTAACAGTCCTCACAGGGAACGTCACACCTTCTTTCATCTTCCTGGAGCTGATTGTTGGCTGAGTCCTCACAGGGAACGTCACACCTTCTTTCATCTTCCTTGAGCTGATTGTTGGCTGAGTCCGCCCCATTTTGGCTATTCTTCTATCCATTCCAGTGGTAGTTTTTCGCTTTCTTCCACATGTTTCAGGTTTTGGTTACCATTTTAAAGCATTTGCCATCATTTTAGCTGAGCAGCCGATCATTTTCTGCACTTCTTTATATGTTTTCCCCTCTCCAATCAACTTTTTAATCAAGGTACGCTGTTCTTCTGAACAATGTCTGGAACGACCCAATTTCCTCCGAATTTCAGAGAGAAATGCACTGTAACCAGCATGTCCAACATTTGCTGCCTTCCTTCCTTAAATAAGGGCAATAATTGCCACCTGTTCTTCAAAGAATGAATGACGTCACTAATAGAACTCCACACGGCTATTATTGTGAACACGCCCCTTTCAATGAGTGATTCAATGACACAGAATCAGCAGCATGCATGTCATGACTGTTGGGTCTGTTGGATTTCTATGACTCTACTACACCTGCTAGGAAATTATTTGCCATGTAGAGATATCATTTCCACCAAAAACAGTGACTGATCCGGTTAGTGATGTCTGACTGATATTATTTTCAACACAACTGTATATATATATATGTGATTTTGCGCAGCCCTGCAGCCGTATTTCTGCTATAGGGGTGGCAGGCAAGCGGTTAAGGAGATGGTCACTGACTGCAGACCTGATACTGGAGGTTCTGGCATCTTCTGCAGGAGATATTTACGGCGCGGGTTCATTACTGCATGCAAGCCTTTGCAACCTAATACTTGTACTTCCACCACTATGAACTTCACAAAGACCGTACTTAAAGTGGAGTTCCACCCAAAAAGGGGAAGTTCCGCTTTAAAAAATTGGTCTCCTGCTCCCCATTAAGGATTGACACCTTTGGGTTGCGGGGGGGGAATGGGTACCCGAATTTGACAGGTACCCACTCCCACTTCTGCTGCGATCGCCTAGGCGATCGGAAACGGAAGTTGTCCTCCTACCCTCCCTCCCCGAAGTCTTGTGGGACACGTGACAGGTCCCAGAAAATGACAGGACCATTCAGGAAGCGCAGCGCTTCTCGCGCATGCGTAGTGGGCATCCGGCTGTGAAGCCGCAAGCTGGAATGCAGAACGGCAGGGTCGAACGGGCTGCGGCGGGGGCACCGCGGGATCGTGGGACAGGTAAGTGGCTGTTTTTTTAAAAGTCAGAAGCTACAGTTTTTGTAGCTGCTGACTTTTAATTTTTTTTACAGAGTGAGTGGAACTCCGCTTTAACAGCCGCATGCGGCACTGAGGGTTTACACAGTGGAGTGTTCCATGCCATTATCCGCGTCCATCATGGATTCTGTGTGGAGCTGAGAATACTGGAGATGGAATCCCACTAGAGATGTGTCCAAGAAGCCACCATTTTCCAGCAAATACACAGATCTAAAGAGTTCTGTCAGGACCCGGATCCTAACCTGCAACCTCTGCTGTTTCTGGCAGTATCTCTTCTTGCTGAGATGATGGACAGCTCCCTGGACCAATCCTTGCACAATCTTGCCTTATACCGTGTTTCTGGTGAACTTTGAACTCTTTGCTCCACCGGTGAACTTCCTATTCATGCCATGTCTTTGAACTTCCTGTTTCCCAGATTAAAGTGCTCTCTCCAGCCGATATCTCGCTATTTTCACTCCTGCTGCCGTCTCTATCTTTGCTACCACTTTGGTTTGTTCCTCGACTACCCTTCCCACTTGTTCCCAACCTGCTACATCTGCTACTGGACCCCAGCTTCCTCACCTCATGGTGGGTCGATCCTGAGGACCACAACCTGGCAGCAAAACCCATCTCCGCCATCAGGAGCTCTGGTGAACATGGGTTGGTGCTTAGACCCCGCACCTCGGGTGAGCCTGCGTCATCTGCCAGGGTGACCTGCTTGTAAACCTAACCAGCTGGCCAGTGGGAACCTCTCTATTGCTATCGGTCTCCGGCTGAACCCTGACTGTGACAAGGTCACTCTTGAGTCATTGACACTCTCAAGTAACAACGCAGTCTGAAGTTCTGTAAAGAGTAACTTGTCCAAAATACAAACCTTGGGGCCTCCATCTTTAGAAAAGTCCCATCACATGCTGTTGTCCCAAATGAAAGCTCTCTTACAACATGACAGAAAACACGTTCCTTACCTCAAACAGCAGATTCAGGGCGTGTTCCTCACTGGGAACATGGTGGAGAGATAAGCCTTTAACGAACACCCCATGTGAGTCGTCAACTATGGTCATCTGGTGTGTCAAAAGCCGGCACCTCGGGTAATGTGGATAGGAGGTCAAACAGGGTCTCGTTGTAGATCTCCATGTAGGAAACCCTCACAGTGACCGAGTTTTCACTTTGCTCTTCGATCTCTTTGAAGACCTGAGTGAGACGTAAAAATCTGCTTAGTTAGACGGGTCGTCCATCTGGTCGTCTGTACAAGTGGTGAGAACGATTTGAAGGTGAATGAGAACACTGTACAGGCGTCTTTCTCATTCTATTCTGTTTCATTCAAGTCTATTCAATGTTATTCTATTCTATGCAGCCAAAGCAGGAATCATCATCCCACACCACTTATACCTTACTGTGTTTATTGCACTAAGTTTCCATTTCAAATTCAAATAATTCCTTTCGTTATAATTTAATTTGGATTTGTTGAAATTACTATTGTGATTCAGAAATTTGGATACATCAGAATCTCCAAATATTTAAAATTTTTCCCAAATTTTGGTTCATAACAAAACAAATCACACATGTCTAGTCAATAGAAAGAATGTCCCTTACATTGGGGGTCAGTGGGAAGAATGTCCCTTACATTGGTGATCAGTGGGAAGAATGTCCCTTACATTGGTGGTCAGTGGGAAGAATGTCCCTTACATTGGGGGTCAGTGGGAAGAATGTCCCTTACATTGGGGGTCAGTGGGAAGAATGTCCCTTACATTGGAGGTCAGTGGGAAGAATGTCCCTTACATTGGTGATCAGTGGGAAGAATGTCCCTTACATTGGTGGTCAGTGGGAAGAATATCCCTTACATTGGTGGTCAGTGGGAAGAATGTCCCTTACATTGGAGGTCAGTGGGAAGAATGTCCCTTACATTGGGGGTCAGTGGAAGAAGATGTCCCTTACATTGGGGGTCAGTGGGAAGAATGTCCCTTACATTGGTGGTCAGTGGAAGAATGTCCCTTACATTGGGGGTCAGTGGGAAGAATGTCCCTTACATTGGTGATCAGTGGGAAGAATGTCCCTTACATTGGTGATCAGTGGGAAGAATGTCCCTTACATTGGTGGTCAGTGGGAAGAATATCCCTTACATTGGTGGTCAGTGGGAAGAATGTCCCTTACATTGGAGGTCAGTGGGAAGAATGTCCCTTACATTGGTGGTCAGTGGGAAGAATATCCCTTACATTGGTGGTCAGTGGAAAGAATGCCCCTTACATTGGTGGTCAGTGGGAAGAATGTCCCTTACATTGGGGGTCAGTGGGAAGAATGTCCCTTACATTGGAGGTCAGTGGGAAGAATGTCCCTTACATTGGTGATCAGTGGGAAGAATGTCCCCTTACATTGGTGGTCAGTGGGAAGAATATCCCTTACATTGGTGGTCAGTGGGAAGAATGTCCCTTACATTGGAGGTCAGTGGGAAGAATGTCCCTTACATTGGGGGTCAGTGGAAGAATGTCCCTTACATTGGGGGTCAGTGGGAAGAATGTCCCTTACATTGGTGGTCAGTGGGAAGAATGTCCCTTACATTGGGGGTCGTCAGTGGGAAGAATGTCCCTTACATTGGTGATCAGTGGGAAGAATGTCCCTTACATTGGTGATCAGTGGGAAGAATGTCCCTTACATTGGGGGTCAGTGGGAAGAATGTCCCTTACATTGGGGGTCAGTGGGAAGAATGTCCCTTACATTGGTGATCAGTGGGAAGAATGTCCCTTACATTGGTGGTCAGTGGGAAGAATATCCCTTACATTGGTGGTCAGTGGGAAGAATGTCCCTTACATTGGAGGTCAGTGGGAAGAATGTCCCTTACATTGGTGGTCAGTGGGAAGAATATCCCTTACATTGGTGGTCAGTGGAAAGAATGCCCCTTACATTGGTGGTCAGTGGGAAGAATGTCCCTTACATTGGGGGTCAGTGGGAAGAATGTCCCTTACATTGGGGGTCAGTGGGAAGCATGTCCCTTTACATTGGTGGTCAGTGGGAAGAATGTTCCTTACATTGGGGTCAGTGGGAAGAATGTTCCTTTCATTGGGGGTCAGTGGGAAGAATGTCCCTTACATTGGGGGGGTCAGTGGGAAGAATGTCCCTTACATTGGTGGTCAGTGGGAAGAATGTCCCTTACATTGGGGGTCAGTGGGAAGAATGTCCCTTACATTGGGGGTCAGTGGGAAGATGTTCCTTACATTGGGGGTCAGTGGGAAGAATGTCCCTTACATTGGAGGTCAGTCAGTGGGAAGAATGTCCCTTACATTGGGGGGTCAGTGGGAAGAATGTTCCTTACATTGGGGATCAGTGGGAAGAATGTCCCTTACATTGGGGGTCAGTGGGAAGAATGTCCTTTACATTGGGGGTCAGTGGGAAGAATGTCCCTTACATTGGGGGTCAGTGGGAAAAATGTCCCTTACATTGGGGGTCGGTGGGAAGAATGTCCCTTACATTGGGGGTCAGTGGGAAGAATGTCCCTTACATTGGGGGGTCAGTGGGAAGAATGTCCCTTACATTGGTGGTCAGTGGAAGAATGTCCCTTACATTGGTGATCAGTGGGAAGAATGTCCATTACATTGGGGGTCAGTGGGAAGAATGTCCCTTACATTGGGGGTCAGTGGGAAGAATGTCCTTTACATTGGGGGTCAGTGGGAAGAATGTCCCTTACATTGGGGGTCAGTGGGAAAAATGTCCCTTACATTGGGGGTCAGTGGGAAGAATGTCCCTTACATTGGGGGTCGGTGGGAAGAATGTCCCTTACATTGGGGGTCAGTGGGAAGAATGTCCCTTACATTGGGGGTCAGTGGGAAGAATGTCCCTTACATTGGGGGTCAGTGGGAAGAATGTTCCTTACATTGGGGGTCAGTGGGAAAAATGTTCCTTACATTGGGGGGTCAGGGCGCGCGCTCTCAGCATATATGTTTTTTGTTACATGAACGCAAATGTGCGGCCCCTCGGCGTCTAGGCCCAGACACCGGGAGGCCGCACATTTGCGTGCGGCCGGCGTGAAGGGGTTAACAACCATGACAACCAAGATATTCAAATTATTTTTTAAAAACTGCATGGTGTCGCCCCGCAATCCCCTTCAGGTTGGATGTTAAAGGGAACCCCAAGCCAATAAAAAAAAAAAAACAAAACAGTGAGGGTTGATGGGCGAAAGTGTCTCTTCCCCACAACCCTAGACGATGGTTGCGGGGGTCTGTGGGCGGGGGGGGGATTATCGGAATCTTGAAGCTGCCTTTACAAGGGGGCCCCCAAATCCCATGTGAATAACTATGGGGTACACTGTACTCCTACTCATTCATCTTTAAAAAACTGCATGGGGTCCCCCCTCAATCCACACCCGACCCTTTGAGGTTGGTTTTAAGGGGAACCCCGAGCCAAAATGAAAAAAAAAAACTGTGAGGGCTCCCCCAAAATCCAGGCTAGATCCTTATGCAAGCATGTAGCCCAGCAGGTCAGGAAATGGGGGGGGCGAGTAGACGAGGGAGCGCTACTCCCTCCCTTACCTTCTGAACCTTACCAGGGCACATGTCCTCAACATGGGGGGGGGGGGGTGCAAAGCACCTTGTCCCAATGTTGATGGGGGCAAGTGTCTCTTCCCCACAAACCTGGACAATGGTTGTGGGGCTCTGTGGGCAGGGGGATTATCGGAATCTGGAAACTCCCTTCACAAAAAGGCCCCAAATCCCCCCCATGTGAATAAATATGGGGTACACTGTACTCCTACTCATTCATTTTTAAAATACTGCATGGGGTCCCCCCGCAATCCATACCAGACCCTTTTGGCTTGGATTTTAAGGGGAACCCCAAGCCAAAAAAAAAAAAAAAAACTGTGAGGGGTCCCCCAAAATCAGGACTAGATCCTTATGCAAGCATGTGGCCCAGCAGGTCAGGAAATGGGTGGCGAGTAGATGAGAGAGCGCCACTCCCTCCCTTATCTTCTGAACCATACCAGGGCACATGTCCTCAACATGGGGGGGCTGCAAAGCACCTTGTCCCAATGTTGATGGGGGCAAGTGTCTCTCCCCCACAAACCTGGACGATGGTTGCGGGGGTCTGTGGGTGGTAATCTGGAAGCTCCCTTTACAAAAAGGCCCCCAAATTCCCCCCCATGTGAATAAATATGGGGTACACTGTACTCCCACTCATTCATTTTTTATTTTTTTTTTACATTTTGGCATGGGGTTCCCCTTAAAATCCATACCACACCCACCCCGCTCCTTAACAACCAGCTACTCTTCACAATGAATTTGAATGGATTCGATATTCTCCATCCATTGGAAAAATTTGATCGAAAATTAATAAACAAAACTAATTTTTTTTGTCTTTCACAAACATGTAGTTTCATAATCTTCACCATTCTTAGAGAGATACATACAAATGTTTTTCAATAATAAAGACATATGTTGTACATTTTCTTCTGGGACACATTATTCAGGTCCTGTTTCACACGTGTGTATTTCACTCGGTATCCTTCGCTTCGAGTAGCAGATCCAGGAGGACGTGTTGGGACCCTCATTGACCATACAAGATGGAAGCCTCTCAGGGGATCATCTCTATAAATCACACACATGGGGATGGCAGTACCTGCTGTAGGGCTCTGGGGATGATTCCTCGATGGGTGTAGTCCCCGGTTGTCCCGGTGATGGTGTGCGTTTTCCCAGCACCAGTCTGTCCATAGCACATTATTGTACCTGGAAGCAAAACTACAAGTCAGATGTGTCTCTGCGCACCATGTGACCTGGGAACAGAGCAGGTCATTGGTTAGTGGGGGGCACACAAAACCTCTGGAGGACCCCAACATTCCACAAACCTCCTTCAAGAAACTCCTTATGACCCCTTCTAAAGTTCAGCTTCTAGAAGACAACTAAAGTCCAATTAGAACCCGGAGCGACACAGCCACACATTCCAGAAATATTCCGACCTCTTGTCCCCATGGCTTGCTAACCCATATAATGGCCTTCTTAGAGAAGGATCCTTCTCCCCTGACTGCTGCGAGTTGTATGATCCCCAAACCAAGTGTTCATTCAGTCCGGGTTCACATTAACCACTTCCAGTCCGGACACTTCCCCCCTTCCAGTCCGGACACTTTCCCCCACTTCCAGTCCGGACACTTTCCCCCCCTTCCAGTCCGGACACTTTCCCCCACTTCCAGTCCGGACACTTTCACCCCCTTCCAGTCCAGACACTTTCCCCCCCTTCCAGTCCGGACACTTTCACCCTCTTCCAGTCCGGACACTTTCACCCCCTTCCAGTCCGGACACTTTCCCCCCTTCCAGTCCGGACACTTTCACCCCCTTCCAGTCCGGACACTTTCCCCCCCCCTTCCAGTCCGGACACTTTCATCCCCTTCCAGTCCGGACACTTTCACCCCCTTCCAGTCCGGACACTTTCACCCCCTTCCAGTCCGGACACTTTCCCCCCCTTCCAGTCTGGACACTTTCCCCCCCTTCCAGTCCGGACACTTTCCCCCCCTTCCAGTCTGGACACTTTCCCCCCCCTTCCAGTCCGGACACTTTCCCCCCCTTCCAGTCCGGACACTTTCCCCCCCTTCCAGTCCGGACACTTTCCCCCCCTTCCAGTCCGGACACTTTCACCTTCTTCCAGTCCGGACACTTTCACCCCCTTCCAGTCCGGACACTTTCCCCCCCTTCCAGTCCGGACACTTTCACCCCCTTCCAGTCCGGACACTTTCACCCCCTTCCAGTCCGGACACTTTCCCCCCCCTTCCAGTCCGGACACTTTTCCCCCCTTCCAGTCCGGACACTTTCCCCCCCTTCCAGTCTGGACACTTTCCCCCCCTTCCAGTCCGGACACTTTCACCCCCTTCTAGTCCGGACACTTTCCCCCCCTTCCAGACCGGACACTTTCCCCCCCCTTCCAGTCCGGACACTTTCCCCCCCTTCCGGTCTGGACACTTTCCCCCCCTTCCGGTCTGGACACTTTCCCCCCCTTCCGGTCCGGACACTTTCCCCCCCTTCCAGTCCGGACACTTTCCCCCCCTTCCAGTCCGGACACTTTCACCCCCTTCCAGTCCGGACACTTTCCCCCCCTTCCAGTCCGGACACTTTCCCCCCTTCCAGTTCGGACACTTTCCCCCCTTCCAGTTCGGACACTTTCCCCCCCTTCCAGTCCGGACACTTTCACCCCCTTCCAGTCCGGACACTTTCTCCCCCTTCCTGTCCGGACACTTTCCCCCCCTTCCAGTCCGGACACTTTCACCCCCTTCCAGTCCGGACACTTTCACCCCCTTCCAGTCCGGACACTTTCCCCCCTTCCAGTTCGGACACTTTCCCCCCTTCCCAGTTCGGACACTTTCCCCCCCTTCCAGTCCGGACACTTTCCCCCCTTCCAGTTCGGACACTTTCCCCCCTTCCAGTCCGGACACTTTCCCCCCTTCCAGTTCGGACACTTTCCCCCCTTCCAGTTCGGACACTTTCCCCCCCCCTTCCAGTCCGGACACTTTCCCCCCCTTCCAGTCCGGACACTTTCACCCCCTTCCAGTCCGGACACTTTCTCCCCCTTCCTGTCCGGACACTTTCCCCCCCTTCCAGTCCAGGACACTTTCCCCCCCTTCCAGTCCGGACACTTTCCCCCCTTCCAGTCCGGACACTTTCCCCCCCTTCCAGTCCGGACACTTTCACCCCCTTCCAGTCCGGACACTTTCCCCCCCTTCCTGTCCAGGCCAATTTTCAGCTTTCAGCGCTATCACACTTTGAATGACAATTGCGCGGTCATGCAACACTGTACCCATATGAATTTTTTAGCATTTTTTTGAGACAGATAAAGCTTTATTTTGGTGGTATTCATTCATTATACCACTGCCATTTTTTTTTTTTTTGCTACATAAATGAAAAAGTCCAAAAAAATTTTTTAAAGTGTTTTTTTAAATAAAATTTTGCAAATAAATAATGCGGTGCGATTCCTGTGCGAATTACATGGGTGTCCCGCTCCACATTAGTGTGGCCCCAGACTCAGTCCTCTGGTCTATCGGCAGACCCATATCTTGCTGACGGTGCTATAGCTGAAAGACGGCTGTAGCGTGGTTGTCCAGTTCTGGGAGGGCATCCGTGGATGTCCTCCCAGGACCCTGCCCCCTGGGCGCCCCAGAGTGCGCTCTGTGACTGCTGATCACAGATCAGGTTAAATGGCCAATCACAGTGGCCCTTTATCATGTGATCAGCTATGTCCATTCACAGGTGATCACCAACTTGCCAGTTATCGGCAGTCCTTTCTTCACACGCTGTGTCTGTGACAATTGGAGAGATGATAACCAGCAAGGCTGTCAGTACCTCAGTGACCTGAATATCAGTGCAGCCCCATCAGTGCTACATCATCAGTGCTGGCTCATCAGTGCATCCTCACAAGTGCCCATCAGTGCAGCTTATCAGTGCTCATCAGTGCTGCTTCATCAGTGCCACTTCATCAGTGAATATCAGTTCAGCCTCATTAGTGCCCTTCAGTGCAGTATAATAAGTGCCCAACAGTGCTGCCTCATCAGTGCCCATCAGTGCAGTATAATAAGTGCCCTTCAGTGCAATATAATGAGTGCCCAACAGTGCTGCCTCATCAGTGCCCATCAGTGCAGTATAATAAGTGCTCATCAGTGCAGCCTCATCAGTGCAGTATAATAAGTGCTCATCAGTGCAGCCTCATCAGTGCCCATCAGTGCAGTATAAGTGCCCTTCAGTGCAATATAATGAGTGCCCAACAGTGCAGCCTCATCAGTGCAGTATAATAAGTGCCCAACAGTGCAGCCTCATCAGTGCCCATCAGTGCAGTATAAGTGCCCAACAGTGCTGCCTCATCAGTGCAGTATAATAAGTGCCCAACAGTGCTGCCTCATCAGTGCCCATCAGTGCAGTATAATAAGTGCCCTTCAGTGCAATATAATGAGTGCCCAACAGTGCTGCCTCATCAGTGCCCATCAGTGCAGTATAATAAGTGCTCATCAGTGCAGCCTCATCAGTGCAGTATAATAAGTGCTCATCAGTGCAGCCTCATCAGTGCCCATCAGTGCAGTATAATAAGTGCCCTTCAGTGCAATATAATGAGTGCCCAACAGTGCAGCCTCATCAGTGCAGTATAATAAGTGCCCAACAGTGCAGCCTCATCAGTGCCCATCAGTGCAGTATAAGTGCCCAACAGTGCAGCCTCATCAGTGCAGTATAATAAGTGCCCAACAGTGCTGCCTCATCAGTGCAGTATAAGTGCTCATCAGTGCAGTATAATAAGTGCCCATCAGTGCAGTATAATAAGTGCCCATCAGTGCAGTATAATAAGTGCCCATCAGTGCAGTATAATAAGTGCCCATCAGTGCAGTATAATAAGTGCTCATCAGTGCAGTATAATAAGTGCCCATCAGTGCAGTATAATAAGTGCCCATCAGTGCAGTATAATAAGTGCTCATCAGTGCAGTATAATAAGTGCCCATCAGTGCAGTATAATAAGTGCCCATCAGTGCAGCCTCATCAGTGCAGTATAATAGGTGTCCATCAGTGCAGCCTCATCAGTGCAGTATAATAAGTGCCCATCAGTGCAGTATAATAAGTGCTCATCAGTGCAGTATAATAAGTGCCCATCAGTGCAGTATAATAAGTGCTCATCAGTGCAGTATAATAAGTGCTCATCAGTGCAGTATAATAAGTGCTCATCAGTGCAGTATAATAAGTGCCCATCAGTGCAGCCTCATCAGTGCAGTATAATAGGTGTCCATCAGTGCAGCCTCATCAGTGCAGTATAATAGGTGTCCATCAGTGCCCATCGTGCTCATCAGAGCCCATAAATAAATAAGAAAAATACCGTTTTGCAAAAGTTTATAAAAGAAATTAAGAAAAGGTTTGTTTTTTTTTTCATTTTTGGTCTTTATTCATTTGTTAAGCAAAAAATAAAACCCCCCAGAGGTGATTAAATACCACCAAATGAAAGCTCTATCTGTCTCAAAGAAGTGATACAAATTTAATTTGTGTGTACAGTGTTGCATGACTGCGCAATTGTCATTCAAAGTGCGACAGTGCAGAAAGCTAAAAATTGGTCGGGGCAGGAAGGGGGTGAATGTGTCCGGTACTGAAGGGGTTAAAATTGGACAGCAAAATATTTCCCAGGACTCAGCATGCAGATTGAACAAATAATTCAAGTCAAGTTGGGTTTATATCCATTAGGCGAGCCAGTAAAAATGTTTGCAGATTTACAATGGGGGGGGGGGTCAATGGTGGAGAAGGATCTGGGGGGTCAATGGTGGAGAAGGATCTTGGGGGTCAATGGTGGAGAAGGATCTGGGGGGGGTCAATGGTGGAGAAGGATCTGGGGGGGTCAATGGTGGAGAAGGATCCGGGGGGGTCAATGGTGGAGAAGGATTCTGGGGGGGTCAATGGTGGAGAAGGATCTGAGGGGGTCAATGGTGGAGATGGATCTGGGGGGGGGTCAATGGTGGAGAAGGATCTGGGGGGGGTCAATGGTGGAGAAGGATCTGGGGGGTCAATGGTGGAGAAGGATCTGGGGGGGGTCAATGGTGGAGAAGGATCTGGGGGGTCAATGGTGGAGAAGGATCTGGGGGGTCAATGGTAGAGAAGGATCTGGGGGTTCTGGTAGATCACAAGCTTAATAATGGCAGCAATGCCAAGCTGTGGGTTGAGGAAAGATTAGAAGAACTGAACTTATTCTCTACTGAGAAAAGGAGATTAAGGGGGGATAT